ATATTCAGCCAGCCGAAAACTAACGGTTGTTCCGGCCTATGCTTTTCGTTTTTCGTGGTGCTTATCAAAATATACAGGGTAAAATAACAGTTAGAAAGATGTCGCGATGCACAGCAACCATAAAAACCAGTTGATCCGACGCCACCTCCACCGCACTCGCACAAACCTTCACCCCAACCCAACCCCCAGCTTTACCCCTACCCCACTTTCATCTCACCACTCACCATCTACCTCTTGGCATCAAACTTTGTACGAAAGACGCTATAAGCCACATCAATGATGTGGTTACAAGGTATTGTATGATAAATTGATCGCAATATTGCGATTTATTCTTTGCTAGTTGTCTTCTTTGCCGCTCGAGTGTGCGATCAACGGGACGGCGCTCTTGCTGCGTGTGATTATGGTCGCAAGACTGAAGCGGAATAAATATGTGGGTAGAGTAGTGCGGTCTTGCAGTCTGGGAATCTGTTATGTATCTTCTATAGTCGTCTGGCGACAGCAGTCACGTTATTTCTCATGACATTTTCAATTCAAAATATTTCCTCTCCTACAAGAACTGCTATTGATTAAGAAATTAGTTTGACGTTGGTTTTTTGAAGAAGGGAAATTGATAGTTCTTCTAGTTCTCAGATGTTCTGTAAGCTTGTCTACGTTGTTTGCAGACTGTTTCTAGTTGGACTACTACTCTTGAGCCTGGAAGAAAATGGGCTAACAGTATATCGCGCAAGTACTGCCCCTTTGTTAGATTCATGCGAGGAAGGAAACCTTACGTCAATGTTATTTAGGGCTCTATGAACTGGTCAACAGCATCGTGTCCATTCATTGAACTGAAAAGGGAGACAGTTAGTAGAGGTTGATTCTGCAAATTGTATAATGACTAATATGCCTTGTCAGTGTCTAGGCACAACATGACTATTTTTCGCGATTTAACGCAAATTTCTGCATGAACATAATTCTTATCCGCTTTTTTGGATATCCAGTACACGGTCACAATACTCCGTTTCAAAAAAATATACATAGATTTTTTTTGTCCACACTGCTTATAAAACGGAGAAAAATATCCGTTTTTATTGGTTTTTTGTGCATTTATTTTGGATCAACGTGAACGCTTAGGAGCAGTGTGAACAAAATGTGAGCATTGAGACGTAGATATAAATCTGTGCTTGGCTTAGTCACTTCTTTTAGTGTTGTTTAAGCCTCGTAATCCTTTGCATACTAAGATTTAAAGGCGAAACCTTGTAAGAAATACCTTTCAATGCATACAATCCTGCCAGAATCTCTCAAATTCTATCATTATTGTAAATTTTTGCATTTTTTCAAAGTAAGATTAGACAATTGACCAAAAGCTTATGCAATCCAAGGCAACTGGTGCCAAGACGGCTTCTAAATGGAACAAGTCTGACAAAAAATACTTGTGGAAAACCAACCACCGATGAGAAAAGGGCCCGCTAGGTATCGATTTTAACGAATCGTAAATAGAAAAATGACTTTGAAGAAAGCAAACTATTTGTGTCATCTAAATTTTTCCGTCCGTCACTCTTCAGAGTCTAGAGCGTCAGAACATAGATACATATTTTGCGGTCGTAAATAGTATTTTGATTGAATTGTAAATAGTAGTTTGTCTATAATAACGACCATGTTATGAATTTTTACACAGCTTTTTTTAATGCTTAGTTTTTGCTTGAGCAATCTGTTAAAGCATGTTTGATTGAACAAGAGCTTCTTTTTTTATATGTCACAACAAAGTTTGGTTATTTTGCGGAGTATTTTCTCAAACATTGAAAAAGATAGCCCCAGCCTTGGCTAATGATTTTGGAGCAGATAACATCAGAGAGAAATCCATTTCTGAGAAGCCAACTCCTTCTTCTACCAGCCCCCCCCCCCCTCAATGTTTTTTAAAAATGCCTATATTTTATGAACTAGCCTATAACAAACGATGTTTCGATAGAGAAAACTTCGAATGCTAAGTACGTATACGTCTTTGATATTGTGGGAATGTGGGCTGGAACTAGGTAGGGTTTGCCGGCTTTTGGATCTTCAAAAGTCGTGAAGCACCACGAAGGTAATTCTTCGCTGTAGGTTTTCAGTAACAGGATATTTGGCAAGGCGAAAATAGGATTTGACGGTTTTTTCCTATTTTCTTCCAGTCAAAAGATTCACACCTAATAATCCAGGCACAACGATTCGTGTGTATTAAGTTCAGGCAAGCAACCTTGCCATAGTCGCCTACTTATAATACCTTCTAAAGAAACGACGTCAACTCATATTAGAAGTTACGATTTGTTATAAGTAAAGAAGTATGTCACGCCATTTTAACTAGGCGTCCAGTAATTAGGCCAGTTTTACTTCCGATGAAATCACCCACGAAAGTCTTAGATCATAAAAAACATATAGGATTGTTCAAACATCTGTCTCATTTACTGCTTAATGGAAACTATACATATGGTAGCCTGGATCGCAGGCTAGGAATATGGCAGAATTTTTTTGGTCAGTCGTGATGCTCAAACTTTAAGAGTGTGTTTTATTGCAGGGGACCTTATATGGGGGCTCTAAAATGCGCGATCTGCAAGCGCATAAAGCCATGTTTTACAAAATACGCAGGACGTATCTTATATGAAACCGCGATTCGCAGAACCATTGCCAAACCCATAGGCCATACTTAGAAAAATGGGCCGTGAAACTGCAAACCTACTGCATATTGTCCCACATAATAGGTTTTGGTTCATATTCTTTTAGCAGAACCTGTTTTCTAGAAAAAAGAGAATGCAATCAGCATAGCTCTTCAAAGCTGCCTTTTCGGCCTATTTTGTGTGATCAATAAAAAGTAATGGAAATCTTCAGTATAGAAAATAGCTAGCTGCTTCACATAACTTCCCTTCATACGCAATTAAACAGTGTGGCATAAAAACGTAAACAAGATTACAAGGTAGGTTTGAGGTATTAAATTCTGTGCCTGTGTGATGCATAGGAAGTTTAACCTGTTGTTTTATTGCACCGCTAGATGAAAAAGGGGCTCCAATCTTATTAAAATGAATTATTACAGGATACGAAAACTCCGTAAACGATTTTTTCTACTGGCAAGGATTTGTAAAGCGCAAAATATTTCTTCTTCACAGCCAGTAACACGACATGTTTTATAGACTGACATTAACTAAATTGTACATGACATCGACGGTGGTTTTCCTTAGGGTGCTGACGTCACCTTGCTATGTCGAGACTCAAAACTGGAAACGTAATATTTGTAGACTCGCTTCCATGTGAGGGGGGAATTTCACATTCAACCTTTGCTACTATGTATTTCGTGAGAGGATCCAAACAACTTTCACTTCGCTTGTCGTTGATTATATTCCCTTAGCAAACAGCTGCTTCGATTTGAGTGCATCAAAGTTTATTTGCCTAAAGAAATGTTTACTATGACAACGAACATACACTGCCTTGTTTACGGATATTGTGGTATTGCCATAAATTCTTGCTATAGATCACGTCATAGATCTACGAATTATACTATTATTAAAACTATAAGCATGATTCAAAACTAATCAGAAGGAAGAACGTCATTGATGAAGTAACTTATCAGAAACTTTTTGCTTGCACCTTCTCTCTCGTCTGCTCCTATATAAACCACTCCGAAAATGTCAAATGACTCACCTGAAAGAAACGACCTCAATTTTAGCAGTGCCTATTTTTCCGGCTTTGCCATTAGACATAAGGACAGAAGCAGGAAAGTTAGCCAATGTACAAGATACCTACAGAAAATTGAAATAAAATGACAGTTACAAAGAAAGAATAAGTAGAAGCTAGGAATTTTTTTCTAATGCCATTTTACTGCCCCCTTGTCCTTTAGTCATTTCAGTATCCCTAGCAGAGGATGTGCACCTCGCTTGTGTAGCCTTCTGTGCCCTCACACAAGACTATGGTCTTATGATAGTGATACAGCGCGAGCTTTAAACTTCGAAAGATTTTCCTATTAAAAGAATCGCTCACAGAAAGGAAGAAACTTTTGGACGGTTAAGAAAGGGCTCTGCTCGTTGTCTCCGTATTATCGAATATTTCTCTCTTATCGTTATTTCGCAAGATTCTGGTCTTTTCAGTGCTGCAAATTCTCGCTTCAAAACAATTTTTTGCGTCATTGTCATTTTTTGCTTTTAAAAGTAATATTGCGTTAATGGCATCAAATTGTCACCCTTGTCCACACTTCAGCAATGCCGTATAGCCTGGGAGCATGTCATGTTTCCATATTGTTCTGTTTTGTCAGGATGAGTCCACTTTTGTTTTTAGTTACAGAAAGGGCTAAGGATAATCGGCTTATGATTTATAACAAACGTGCGAAATTCCTAAACTAAGATTGCCTTGCTGTGTTAATTATTCCAACCGTTAACAGTCAAAATACAAGTTGAAGTTGCTCGCGATTTTCGTAAAATTTGTCATCAGTTCTTGATAATGAACCAACTAAAAATAAACGTCGGCATCCTGAAGCGGCCGCAGCCCCGAAAGAAAAAGGATGTTGCAAAGTTTCTATAATTCTAAGGACAGCGTTTGCTGATGGTTGTGGAAGGAATTTTATTGTATATTTATGTCTTCCTTCCCTTTCAAGGAAGCCTTTGTAAATTTTTCAATTATTTGATTTTTTCACCATTTGCGAGGCAGCTTTTAAAATTTGCACTAAGTTTATCCACCTTTGTTTTAATATTCGAAATTTTTATATGTGTCGGATCAACTGCTATCATGAAATCGTCAGCCTTCTTTCTTAGATTCAAGTTAAGGATTCAACATTAGCTCGTTATTAGTCAATAAACTTGCAGCTTGTCATATAATGGTTATTTACAACCTTTTTAAAAATCCCATTTTGTAAGAACACGGGCCTCAAAATTGGTCAAAGAAGAAGGGCAACCCGAAAATTTATTTGATGAGGCTATATCTATAGTATAAATTTAATATTTTGATTTAACCAGATTATGTGTCTATATATTTTAAACCTCTTATTCTTACAATTATGGTAGGATGGAAGCCTTGGTCGACCTGGAGCACCTGTTCTAGCAGCTGTGGAGGAGGAATCCGAAGACGAAAGAGGCAATGTATTTCAAAGCAGCTTTGCCGTGGTCCTCATATGGAATCGAAGAAATGTAATACTTTTGGCTGTGTCGGTATGTACTTTGACACTTACTTCGTTTTTAAAAAGGCCAAGACAAGAATTCAGGAGATAATTTAGTTCACTAAAAACTGGGGGAATGGACAAACCATTGATGCATTGAATATTGTTAGGTGACATGTGAGCTCGGAAGGTTTTATATCAGAATAGTCCAGCCTGTTCTAAGTGTATTTTTGCTTTGATAATATCTGTTTATAGAGGCCAGAGCCAAGAATAAGTTGTTTTGAATTTTATCTTTTGCGCAGTATCTCTCAGAAGATTTCCCTAACATTAGGCCGTTTACATTGACAGGGACAGTTGAAGTTTTGAAAGAGATCGAGAAAGAGAACATCAACACAAAGCAAAGCAAACTGTTTCGTGATGGTTCACTTTTTGGAAACGGCCTGGGCGCTGCTCCAAGTGCGATGACGTACCTTCTGTTTCCGCAGCAATTTCCATCTGAATTTTCAATACTGGCAACAATTAAAGCTGCCCTGTTTCTTCCACGGTTTCTGTTTAGTCTTTATGATGCAAACAATCGTATGTTGCTTGGGCTGAAGTTAGGCCCAGGGCTAATCACTGTTCACTATGGCGGACAAAATGACGTCACCCATGACAGAACCTCACATTCATTTGCTGTCGATTTGAGGAGGAATGAATGGCATCAAATTGGCATTTCTGTGACTTCAACCGAGCTGATTGTCACTGAAAGCTGTGTAAAAGTTGGTAAAGCTCCCCTGAATGGTGTACCGGCTGCGTCATTTGACATTTTCGGAGCGGTTTATATTGGAGCAGACGAGAGTGAAGGTGCAAGCAAAAATTTCCTGGTGAGTTACTTCACAATGTTTATGCTTAAGAAGTTTTTTGTGGGTACTGTTAAATATTTTAGGTTTTTTTATTACTTGTTGAAAGCAGGTCGTTGCTATAGATTATTTCGCAATTAGCACCCTTTGCGAAATCTATGTGAGAAAAAAACATGTCGTAACATACTCAACTTGTGTTGTTTTGGAGGTCTATGAGCGTTACATGGTAATGGAATGACTACTTTCTACTCAAACTTATATGCCCACATTGTAATTGCTGTAATGGAACCTCGAAGTAATAACAAATTTATCTTTCTATATTAAAATGAATCATGCTTAAATTTTCAATTTAATTTTAAGATGCGAATAGCCTTCTATAATAGGTTTCTTCAATTACCTTCAAAATAATGTCCGGTAAGGGAAAAAAGAGTGAAACCACACAGGGCTCCAGTGCCATTTCAAAAAGGCCTGGTAAAACAATTATGATGAGTATAGCATTGGTCTAAAGTCATCACTTCTTTAAAGTAGCTCACTGCATATCTTTGTAGATGCAAAACCTCATCGCTTAGGTTGATCCCCAGCTTTTGTTAATTGTATGCCAACAAGCTCCATCATTATTTTATATCTTCTTTGTTTTTTGGTTAATCTAAATTCTCCCCAGTATCAGATGATGTCATACTTTGTTAAGCCGGTTTACCAGATTCGAAATTTAAGTTTCATTTGGTTTTAAACAAGAAACTCATGTATTGTGTGGTAGTGAGACTCTTGATTCGTAAATAATGAATACAGTCGTTTCATACGTAGCTATTGTAAGCTGGGAAGGCATTTTCTGATGTTCACGATCTCCATTCTAGGGTCAGGTTTCCCAGCTTACAATTGTACCAGATCCTGCTGCGGTATTTGAGCATTGTGGAAGACAGATATTCTTTGTAAGTGTTATATGGCTTTGCTTCTTTCATACGCTTTTTCATTACGGTTGGGGAAATAAATGACCCCCGTCAATGTATGTAGAGCGAATCCGGATAGTGCTTTATCACCACTGCGCGTGCCCCATGTAAAGGACCGGTAATGGTTTTGTTCATTAGGAACCTTCTACTTGTTCTTTTCTGAAGGTTGCGGCCTGCTTAAATTTGTCTAAACAAATACCCTCGGTCTTCACGTTTTCATATTTTGATTCATTTAAACATACATTTGATACGATGAAAACCTCTTCACTTAAGCTAATATAACTGTATTGGCCAGGCACTTGAAACAGGATGCTCTATATACAAGTCATTGTCAATGTAAAACTATGTACCGTAAACAAACAAAACTTATATTGGGTGGGTGCTAAACGGAAAAGATATTGATGAAATGGAGCTGTGAACTATTGACACGTGCATGCAACTTCGCTTAGCAGTTAATTTCAAAGTGGCTGAAGCCGTTCCTGTGAAGGGCGTGTCCTGCTTGTAGAAACTGTATATAATCACCATGGGTGTGTCCAACATGGGATGTACGGAGAGGGTGACGCAAGGTAGAAAGTAATTGGAAATGCTTGAAGTAGATTTGCTCGTTCCTTTACTCTGTTGCTATAAATCATATGTCACATCTGCCCCTATCAAGTTAGGATGTTTAAAGTAGCCTATTGGTAAAAAATGTATGGACTGAGTATTGGAATAAACTTGCTCTAAATCCACCATATCTTAGATACACAACATAGCATGTCTCGGAATAATTTGGAAACGAATTGCTATAATTATAAGTCTGCCAAGGATAGTTCTAAGTCTATTGTATTATAAAATTTACATCACGTAGCGTGGAATTAAAGCCTTTCCATTTTCATTTTGCTAAAAGGCAACACACTCCATTTTTGACATCATAGTTTGCTTGAAAATATCCTCTCAATATATTTCTGAATAAAATCACCTCATTCAGCCATCGCAAAGAAGAACAAGGCAGCCATCGCCACCGTACGTCGAAGGCCCACGTGTGTCAAAAGAAGAAAGAGAGACGGAGGCCAGTGGAAGCGCCGACAATTACGTTGATCAGGAGAATGGATCTGAAGTTGACGAGGAACACGGATCTGGGCAAGGTTAGCGAGTTCGTTCTACGATTATCTGTACCTCATGAAAAGAACATGCTCTTTGGCATAAGGAGAGAGAAGTTTCGCATGTTTAATGGTGTAAAAAAAAGAGCTCAAAGACCAGCAGTATTTCCAGTTGAATATAGATCGGCTCGGGGGTAAACTTTGCCTAATTTTGGACGGGGACGTGCCATTTTGGAAAAAATGTGACCCATAATTCCGCAAACATGATGAAAACTATGCTCATTATTCTGCAGATCAAATAAAATTTCTAAAGCACATAAAAAATCATTAACCAGATTTTGCATGTCCTCAATATTACACATATTTCATTCTTTTATTTCTAACCGGACATTCATTTTGTTAATGCTAAATCTCCCTCCTAATAATTCTGCAATACTTCCACAAAATGGTACCCATAGTTCCGCACAAATTTCAAAAATTAGTACCGATTATTCAGCACTTTTCAGAAAAAAATCTCTAAATAATGGCACGTCCCCCCCCCTTTCCGAGAGTGTCGGTTGGCTCGGTCAGGAAAATCTATGCAAGACATTAAACTTTAAGGAAAATTATGCCTTTTCAAAATGCATGAACAGTCAGTCATACGTCTCATGGATTAAGTCCCGACCAGACACACGCTTGACTAGCTTAGTAGAATCTGCAGTGTTTTGTCATTGGGAAAATGCTCATAATGTTATGACAGCTCCCCGAAGTGCAAGACACTGATTTTGTGAGCTACTTTGTATCAGATTACATTTCCTGGTTAACACACCGACCACATGACACAATATTACTCCGAGGCAAAACTATCCGCCGAAGAATTTGTTTGAGAGTTGTTTGAGAAATCAGAAGAAATTCCTAATGATTATACAGTTACTGCTGCAAGTAGATTTTGACACGTTTCAATTGTATAGACTTAAACAAAGCAAGCAGTTAGCTTGAGTGGATGACGAGGAAACGTTTAACTTAGGCCTAAGATCACTAATGACCTGTAGACGACTTCACACGGTCAGCACAGACACGGACGAAAACATAAGACAAGCAGAGGTCGCAGTTATTTCACACAATATTATATCTAGCAACTAAAAATACTTTCCTGGCTATGCGGTCAAGGAAACGATTAAATACACCTGTTCATATTTTACAACACCAATAAGAACACATGGCAGAGTAAGGGACCCTTAGCACCACATTCTGAAACCTCTCTCCGAAACCAAGACAGAAAATCAGGAGATCTTGCCTAAGTAAGAAGCTAGCAAGTATAACTTTATGGAAATATGTGGAAGTTAAACCAGTGTGAAAACTGGCTTTGAGATCAATGTTTTACTGGGCCCTAGCAACTGAACAGTTTTTGCGTAGGAACAGTCACCTTATGTATATTTATTTTACTGTAACTTATGTATATACGAAATTCTGTCGAGTTAAAATAAATTTACTTTCTAATGGAAGAGAAGCATGATTAGAAGAGTAGTTCTTGAACTATAGAATAGCCCCATAACATAAAACATTAAACACTATGGCAAAATTTCCGACTTGCGAACGTGTAAAAACCAAAAAGCTTTTTTATCCAAGCAACGAGCATCTATTACCACACTTATGCGTGTTAGATGTTTCCCATTATCAACTGAAAAACAAATGCTGGAACACCTTCAACTTAATAAGAAACATATTCCCACATGCAACCTCTTGAAGATAGATACTAGAAATGTGTCCACAGAACATTTAATAACTTCTAAAATATGTTTAATGTTGATTAAGCAGAGACAGTCTTTGTCACAACATTTGCACTTAAATAGGTCCAAAAGCTATGGTGATGTGTAATGTGTGATATATTATTCTTCCATATAACAAAATATGGCGGTTTTCGTTTCAAATTACCCAAAGGCTCTCTTATATGCCACTCGTAAATATTGTTTCTACCAGCAGAATTTTAATAGTCGCACGTTAACTATGCCTGGAAATCTTGTCAAACGAATTCTCTGACGAGCTGGATTTTTCATTTGACCCATTTTTAAGACAGGTTGCCCTCGTTATGATCCCTTCAATTACAAATACGTCAAACATTAGTAATGAACACTTAACGAGATTAATTCTTAGTGACACATCTCTCAAATTCTCCTAAAGCCCAGGGGCAAGTTTCTAAAATGTAACCACCCTATGTTGAATAAATCCACATTTAAGCTGCAAAATTTTGAACGTCAGCAACTGGTTGCTTTTTTTACTTTTAGTTACCTTGAGTCCACTGGGCTGGTAGATAATTATAAGAAAACGTATGTTGATAGGGTTATGAGCTTTTTGTGTATTTATACATTTTACTAGTTTTTGTCCAATTTTTAAATTTCTAGTTTTAAGAAAGTCTTTTTGTACCTTAGTTGAATGCAGTGCACAATGTCTTAACGGTGGTAAATGCGTCAACATTTCGAAATGTAGTTGTCCCTCAGGCTGGGGTGGAGATGATTGCAGTCAAGGTAAGTGAGATGTGTTTCCTTCGGGCATTCTGCACTCTACCTCGCTCCCATCTTACAACAGTATTTCAGAGGAAAACCTTCACTTAGTGAAAGGCAATAATTTCTACAACTTTTGCAAGGATAGTTATAAGTCTATTGCCCAACTTCAACTTTTTGCTCGAGGGAGGGGACTGAGTTCTCTCCCACGCCCGCCCCTTTTTATGACAATTTTGACAGAAGAACATTAGTAAATGTTTGTCATTGATTCTCCTTACCATTAATTTGAAGGCAAAAATGAACGATACCCAGGGGCTTTCTCTAATTTGCCTTGCATGTCTGAGCACCAATAACAATGTTAACAATATTTTGATTCTGAATTTTTCGTCTGCTTTAGCTATTTGTAACCCACCCTGCGAAAATGGAGGAAACTGTCTATCTCCTGGTGTTTGCAAATGCAGCCCAAACTATGGAGGAGTTTCTTGTCAAAAAGGTGCGTTCCACAACCGCCATCGCTTATGTGTATTCTTTATTCGATTCTAGGGGTGATTATATTAAACAATATCAATATTTAATACTTCGAAACTCAATAAGCATGTATTTGTATCTGTATCTACCTAGCATTCAAAGATGGTTTGTAGGAGTGTCCTGGTCCTTTCTCTCGATGTGACCGCACCTCGTGGCGCTCCTACGCTTGAAATAGCAGCGAGCTGGCGACTCCCCTCACTCTGGGTAAAGTTATGGTCACCTCAGGAACTTGAACCTCTTACCCTTGAACTTGAACTTGAATATCCGTAGCCTGTGAATATTTGAAAATGTAAAAGATTCTAATGCTGAAAATATAAATGCTCTTGCTTGATCAACATATCAGTTCATCTATGCTCTTCCGGGTTTCTATGCTCTTCAAGTCGCTACATTTAACATTAATCCGAACTTGCAGTTCTATTCTTATTGAAAAATGATTTTATTTTTGTTACAGCGATATGCAAACCATCGTGCTTGAATGGCGGTATTTGTACGGCAAAACGTTTCAAATGCAAATGTCGCGATGGATATTTTGGGAAAGCTTGCGAACACAGGTAATATATTACTGATAGCCCCCAGATATCATTGCTACTTATTGCTGTAGAATTATTTGTTGCCGCTTTATTTACTTCCTCTCTTAATAGATCAGGAGAGATTCAGTTTTAAGGTATCATCATAATGTTATCAGCCTTGCGCATTAAAAGGCGGCTGATAAAGATAAAGTAAGCTCTGGCTATGTTATAGTCACGCGTAATATTGATTGAAAAGCTCTGACAATATTGAGAGTGTTACTGTAAAAGGAACTTAATGCTCAGTTTTGCCTGTATAGGTTTTGGGTATACATTTTATGTTACTATATGCCAACATTACAAATGCAACAAATGTATTCGATGATTCTACATCACTGAAAGATTATCTTTATATTTGTAAATATGCATTTTCTTTTTTACAGTTAATTTACGAGATCGGGGCAACTAGAAAAAAACTTTTCGAATCCAATACATTTGGCAAATAAAAATCCTTGTCTTTTCCTCTTCTTTTTCTCAATATGTTCCCTAAAGTCGTATTAACTTGTTATGATTTTTTATGCTAGGATCTGCACAAGATACGTAACCAAGCAAGTATCGTACCTCAGACCAGTGACAAGAGCCAGAATTAAAGAATACAAAGTGCCATGTGGAATTCTTAACATATGGAAATGCACAAAATCAAGGTACGAGATTTAGATTTTTGAGAGTTAACTCTCTTTGGTGTGTTTATTACTAATCAAGGGTTAGCATGGATTCTAGAGTCAAGGGGAAACTCGCTTTTTCACATAGTGTAGGAGATTTCCATTTGAACTAAAGGATTTCTATGGAAAACAAATTGAATTCTACAAAATGTATGAGATTTCCATGGAGTGATTTTTGCTTTTCGTCTCAGTCACTTGCAGGAATGATATTTTATCTACAAAACTGTGGAATTATCATTTATTTTCCTATGTTTACCAAATTATTTTTTGCTATTTGTTGTTGTTTGTTTTGATGTGGTAAACGGATATACAATTTCATAATAAAATAATCTCTATCGCTAGGCTGGTATACTACAAAGCTCAAGAAGTCTTTTATCGTCAAGAATATGGATGTGCAAAGTAGATGAATTATTTAATTTAATAATACGGATGTTTATGGAGGAATCGCAAACACCCCTTTGAACATGCGAATGGTAAAGGCAAAATAAGTGTGAAGCTGGTTCCAAAAAATAGGCTTGTCTTGGAATTTGAGGCTGAATTCGAATGGAATTTAAGGGCGAGATGTGCCCCTTTAAAGTCCGTTTTATAGTCTCGAACCAGTGCTGAAGGCCGATAGTATTAGGAACTCGTTCTCAAAGCAGATTTCGAATCAAGAGTATACATGCGCATTGCTGAACGGGAAAGTGACATCATCCAACATGACTCGATGCCAATAACTGCTTCTCCATAAAGAAATTATGTAAACTGCTTTTCATGGTTTGCAATCGGTAGAAGTGTTTTCTTGCAAATATGCCATTGCCCACGAGACATTAGAGAGTTCATGAAAATAGTAAAGAAAAGGAACCAAAATAGGTAATATCATAAGCAGAGAAATGAACAGTTTTAATATTTATATCGTCTAAAAATATTTTTTCGCTGTGTCCATTTACTAAGTGACGTCTACGTTTTCTTGTACAAAAATTATATGTATATTTTATATCAGCGAGTATGTAGAAATGAGGCCTTATTTTCGAGGCAAAGTAGTAAATGCATTCCCCTTAACGTTATAATGAGTCTGATACCAGCTGTGATGAAAGGACAAAATTACCGTTTCTAAAGTTATTGCAAGTGCTATGCTGTTGTGGGACACAAGTTGTTTATAAGAGAGATAAAGTAAAAGATAGTCAAAATTTACAAAGAGAAAGCTCACAAAACGAGTAAAAAATTCAGCTAATATACCACATCTTTACCATGTTAATGGCGATGTACTTCGTGCTCGAACTAAACTGTTTACATTAAAACATAACATAACTTTTGATACAATCTGATGTATTTCAAGTTTCTTTTTGTCAATGAAAACCCACAAGCCGCTTATGTTTTGCTCAGACATTGTATAACAAAGTTTCAAAGAACAGTTAGAATGTGTTGTTTTATGATGATAACATCTGTTATGTCAGCAAGCAAAGCATATCTTGTTTTATTTGTGTAAAGCTTATTTATTGAGAATAAATTAACACTGCGTGTAATATATTTTATGGTTAATGATTGAGTGTCAACGAGTCCTTTCTTTTGGAAATAGGGCTTCCATATCGAGAAAGAGGCTTCCATACCGAGAAAGAGGCTTCCATATCGAGAAGGAGGGTAAAAACAGAAGGTCTCTGAAGTTTCTTCCCTAAGGGTGTACCTTGGAGGTCTAGTCTGTCACATCAGTTTCTTGTAAACAAATATGCTTTTTAAAGATGCTACATTGTTCACAGTTTTCAAGTCCTTAAAAGACTGGGTAGATATGAGTAGATTTTGAACGAATGAGATGGACATTGAAACTGCCTATCAAAGATACTACTGTAATTGACCCTTATAGCTTTCCTAGCCTCTATGCCACGTCTGCACATTAGAATTCAAGCTCGTTGCATTCAGTTACAAAACAGATTCGTTATCCTACGTATCTTAACTCATAAAAAGCAGAATGTAATTAAAGTATCTATTGTCAAATATATGAAAATATATGATTTACAATTATATCAATCATCTTCAATTTCTTCGTTTTTCTTTGTCAGATTGTCTGCACCTTAGCGCCTGTTTTTCTACTGGCTACTATCTAAACCCTGAAAGACCTAGTCCGAGACAGGCCCTTTAATGTATCTGAATTTTCCATTTCTTTTTCCAAATATTGACATTTCTACTCCCCAAGAGCCATTTTACGCAATGAAAATATCTTTGTTGGAAATCCTACTGTTTTACCAGAAGATCCCTGGAAATCCTTTAGTTTTCGTTGAAATCTCGTACGCCTTTTGCAAGAGTGAATGACCACTCCTTCTTCCTAATCCCAACGTCATTTATAGTAAACCAATATTTTTCAGGGGAAGTGCTGATTGCTTCAAGATGTTGGCTGCAAATATACGCTTACATTATTTTAACTGTAAATGCAGAAGGTTAAAGCTAAAAAACTGGTTTTTAGGGCATCGAGCCAATGGTAGAGTCACAAAAATTGGAGGGCACGTACCACCTCTGTAAATGTTCCTTTTCTTAGAAGCGTTATCTTCAGAGCAATTAGAGACTTGCCCCCTTATATGAAACATAGCACCCCTGGCCACTTGTGACGTTCCTGGCCAAACAATTTGGATCCACAACAGATAGATAGTGGTAATAAATTGGAAATTGAGATCACATTCAGGAAGGATGAATGATTAAGTAAACATGTCAGTCTGTTTTTTCGTTATTTTATCTGTTTGTATCATGTTGTTCTTCCTTTGGAGTACTGTATTTGAGGGAGCGCTCCTAAATCTTATCTGCTGCCGTTCTGACAAATTAAATCCAAAGCGATTAATCTCATCAACAACTTTAACTTTACAAAGTCTATTCAACCTGCGCCGTGTTGCCGATCTCTCTTGGGTATTACTCTAAGGAGATCAGAGATATGATCTTGGTTTCTTTGAAAAATTTATAATTGAATGTTTAAAATTGAAAAAACTCTTAGAATACATATATGACGTCATCACTCCAGCACTATCAAAGTGCGAATTATATAACTTAACGAATACATGGAACGACACGCAATCGACTGTACAAAATATATTGCTTAGGTGGCCTCGAATCGATTTCCGAAATATCCACAGCAGCAACAACACTTCTGCTACGTGTATCGTATTTTTGCAACCTCAACAAATAACACCAAACAAAACCAAAGAACAGGAAGGTTTTCAGCAACAAAGCACTTTATGTTAACATCTTTATTTATTTAGATAAGCTGATCACAGGAAAATAAATTACTTTTGAGGAACAGCCAACACGCAAACAAAATGCCGAAGTTCCCATCTCAAAGGCCGATGTCACAAAGTCCTGTCAAGTCATGTGCTTATGTTTGCTCGAGAAATTCGCTCGCAGCTTTGAACACACTGTATATTGTACGTATTACGATATTCAGTTGATTATTCTTATAAACAATATCAAAATACAAGGAAGGTTTGACTCAGTCAGTTCATTATATAAACCAAAATAAGGCCGTATTCAATAGTCTGTCCAGCTGTCCTTTTGCAAGGCTGGTAATCATGCGTAACGAGTTTGGTTTTTGCTCAAGCAGAAGTAAGCAAAAGCTCTAAGGATTTTCATGTAGTATCTTAAGTGGTACATTTTTGGTCTTATTGGTCCAATAGGAGAAAACAATAAATAGTGAATTTTTGAGCAACATTTCAATGTCATCATAGCGTCATTATATACACCTGAAAGAAAATTCTACCCATTCTGAAGCTGAAGACCTTAACAAGCTACAAAGGTTAACCCAACATTGAACTCAAGCTAGCAAAATGAATCTTGATGCGAATGTATTGTCTCTAAACCTAACAAAAAACTACATTATATTTTGGTCACTGAAGTATTTTTTATCTGACATACTTGGCCTAAACATTGGCAAGCCCTCCAACAAAAAGACATTATACTGCTACGTTTTTCAGTCTTCTTTAGATAAGTATCTGACCCAGAAGTTAAAACTGCCAATAAAAAGATCATGTGATCGTTGGCATAGAACCACTGATGCCTGTGCAAGCACTTTGAAAAAAATAGGGCTACCGACTTCCTAGAAAATGTGTTCATTTTCCTTGAAATTGTTCTGTTTTCTAAAGCAAGTATGAAGATAGACTTGTGAAAACCAAGGAAAACGTAAAAAAGTGAGATGCCTGTTACTACAATTACTAAAAACGCATTGCGCAATATTGTCAAATGATGTCATTATGCATACAGTCTATTGACTGGACTATTTTACTTATGAATTAGGTTGTGTGGTTCCATTGATGACAAAGATAAAGGCTGCATGTGAATATTGTTTGTTAATCATCTAAGTGATAATCTATAACATGTATTCCTGTTTCTGTTTTGCAGTGGCGTAGTGTCTATGTATGCTACGCTTACAGCGCAAGCGTAAAAATTCATAGACAAATTCTAAAATTCTTGCAACGCTTCTACCGGTAATAAATTTGTTGTAGTGTTAAAGTCAATGCATAACAATTTCCACAATAAATGGCTTCTGTTTTTTGTCACAAGCAGCATGCGGTGAACTCCAGCGCCAACATGCCAATTGGCCCAAATTGGCTATTTTTCCAAGTAAACAAATCGCTAAAAATTGTAAAATTCGAAAATCTGACTAACTGAAGACCCTCCAAATCACTCTTTTTGCCTGTCTAAAATAAGAGAAACATGCGATGCTCCAGTGCAGCTTAAGCGCAACTCGAGAGAAGCTTCTGAGAGAAGTGAGAATTTTCCGAACTGGAGCTTGCAGTCAGCCTTAGCGCAAGCATTCCCAAATATTTAATAATACACAACATTTTTCTGCCTATAAGCTGCTTTTTGCAAATAATTTTTGCGTGGTACCTCATTTCAAATCTAATTATTTTTCTTTCTTAACTCTGTGACTGTTAAAATGAGAAAAAATTTCATCAAAGCAGGGTCAAAGTCTATTTGTCATGATCCGCATTCCGTAATCCAAGTCAAAAGTCTTGCCAGTATAGTCAGAATTTACGGGCCAGGGCATGCGGTAGACCTGAGCGCAAGCCTTGCCAAATACATGATGATTTGCCGGGACTAACTTTCTGAAACTATACACATGGAAGCATTTTCAATTCTGACAACTCTCACAGCTCATTATTGTCATCTTTGTTAACTATGAGAATAGAAAATGAGCAGTAACATTTGCTCTTGTTCGCCTAGGCTCTGCAGTGTGTTAACAATTTTGCAATGTGGAGAGCTCCTCTTTGTGGGAATCCCCAGCATAAAAATTCTTACATTGTGGGCATGTGATTAGGTCATTCCTTTTCTTGAGGAATATGAATAAGAATAAAATCTTTTGCGAAGCAGTTTTAGCACTAGGAGTTATTCTGAAAATTCTTGCAAATTAATTGAGCTTTTTTCAAAAAACCTGTGTTGGAGCCTCTGATGCAGAGAATAGACACCTTGATTGATTAGAATTACTCTAGTACAAATAATTTGTTACTTTCAAAATCAAAATTTATTATCACGATTATCGTTAATTACCGCTTGTATTTTTGAGAAGCTGAAATTACGACTACATTCATTCAACATAGCTGTATATTTTATGTTATCGCATGCCTTAGTTCTGCGCTCATGCTACGCCACTGCTGTTTTGATGTTTTCATGTTTTTTATCTGTACTTCTTTTTCTACGGATTTTGATGTAATTAGATTTATTTGATAGATTCAATGCATAATATAATTTTTCTAACTTGTAAACTTGCTTCTGTTTTCATGCTTTCGTGTTTTTATCTGTACTTCTTATTCTACGGATTTTGATGTAATTAGATTTATTTTATGCATAGAATAATTTTTATAACTTGTACTCCTGCTTCTGTTTGCATGTTTTCAAGTTTTTTATCCATGCTTTTTATTCTAGGGATTTTGATGTTATTGGTTTTATTTCAGTTTATATGATAATTTTGATTTTTAGTCTTTTTTACTATATGGTATATGACAACGCTATGCATTTGCTTTTTAGTTTCTTGGCTTAACACTGATAGGTGTTGCTGCTTACTCCAAGGTTGCTGTTATGAAAAATCTTAGTTTGCCTATCCTTGGTGGTGTCATTGCTTGTGGAGTATTCATATTCCTTACAGCAATGCTTGGTTTAATAGGAGCAATAAGGCACAATCAAGTACTGCTGTTCTTTGTATCCTTTCAATCAATAAAACTAAATATGATTTTTTCCTTTCATCTTTTAACCATCTTCAACCTGGTACCATGATCAATAGAGAAGCCATGGTGGTCCCAAAGAGATGAAATATTTTTTTAGATGAGGTTTGTTTGACAAACATGTCCAATATGCATGGATGCTTGATTCATTCCAAATGGTTTTTAGCAAAAATATGAACAGTAACCAAAATGCAACCAGATTACACTTTCTGGAGTTTCTTGGTTTTTGAGTTTTTGGGAGCTTGCAGTAAAAAATTCTAAATCAAGCTTCTTTGGTGACTCTGTGCAAGCAATTACACTTTAAATTATATTTGCTATAATATATGTAATTACAGTTTTATGATTATTGTTTCTTATGCCCACTCAAGCACCCTTTTTACATCTCATCATCTTATCTATCTAAATTCGATATGAATCATTGAATAGAACTTTACCAAGTTTATGATTTTTTTATGAGTTTATAAACACATAATATGACATGCTTTTTTGGAAAATTCAATTTTAATTGGTAAGGAGAGAAGATAGTTAATTTTAATTGTAGGCAGCTATTGATTGTGTGAATTCCTTGATTCATATATAGTACTTGGTGATAATGTCTCTTCTTTTCATAATCCAACTGTCAGTTTCAATTGCTGCATTAGCTGTCACTAGTGATCAGCAGCATGATATCTTGAAGGCTGGATGGCATAAAGCTGCTAGTGCAAAAGAGAAAAGTGAACTTCAGACAAAACTGGATTGTTGTGGATTTGAGACAGTGAAGTTCAATGTCAGTAGTACTAATCCTTCTTGTTCTGGAGTAAGTATAAATCGTTTATCTGGTGACATTAAATTCAATCATAAAAAATTACACACTTTGTAGATTCTACCTATGGATGAATGTCAAAATGTGAGAATCTTTCAAAATTTATACATGATTGTTTAGAAAATCATATTTTTCTTATTTTATGTTAGTTGTCTTGCTGTGTGGATGACAAGACAGGAAAAGGTGCTGATCCATGCCTGGGTTGTACCACTTGTTACAAAAAGTACAAAGTTACTCTTGAGCATGCTCTCTCAGTTGCTGGTGGTGTTGGCCTCTTTTTTGCATTTACTCTAGTAAGTTTTTTATGATTTCTTTCTTTCCTTGGCAAACTGCTTTTATAATTATCTCTAAAGTTGATGTCCCTTTCATTTAATCTCACACTGCCATTTATAGTCACATAGATTTTAGATCCAAATTTGCAGAGCTAATCAATTTGGCTCAGTTTACTGTTTCACCCTTTCAAACAACATTTGATGTGGCTATTACTCGAATGTACTGTATATCAACCTTGACTGTGAGCATTTTCTCTGTCAACATGCATTAATGATTTTCAAGGCTAGGAAGAGATATTTAAATAGACAATTTTTCTAAAAGAGCAAGCATATGACAACTATTTGTTTTGAAAAAGTATATATATTTTCAATTTATGTCTTTTGTGTTACAAATATATTTCAGTCCATACCAGCTGCTAGAACAGTTTTTGCGCTGTATGGAAATGTTGAATAATTGATGCTTCACAGTTTTGTCCTATTTCTTTGTTGTTTTACAACATGTTTTTCTTCTGTTTAGCTCATGGGTATCTACCTTGCCATCAAATACAGAAATCAGAAAGATCCTGCTGTGAATCTGGATGCCTTCCTTTAAGCTTGTCGATGCCATTAAATCTCTGATTGGAATTCCTAAGTTGTATACATTTCTTTCATCTTGAGGTACTTGCAAAGTGGCATTTGCTGAAAATCACTTAGAACAAATGATCTTTCATATTTCCATGAAGTGAAAGCCATTTTGTGATTGGAACTTTGCTCCTTTCAAAATATAATTTGTGTGCTGTGTAAGGCAGTGTTATCAATTTTGACTTTAGCTTTGTAAGATTTGTTGATTAAGTATCTGAATATTAAAGTAACAGCCTCAAAAGGGAGTACACTGACATTAAATTTAACTTTACTCACAACTGAGTAAAAGTTACTTATTTAAATCATACAAATTTGCCAATATGCATGCCATAGAGGATAACTTGATGCATCTGGTTTGGAAAAATAGACATAACTTTCACAGGTACAGCACAGCCCTACAAGAGTGTAAGCTTCTTAGGCCCCCTAGACAGATTGATTTAACAGTTTTATTCATTGGTGTTTTTAAAAGCTTTAAACCGTTTAACTCAACTGTAGCAGCTGTAAATGAAGAATGTTTGAATATGTTTCTTTCTAGTGGCTATAGGGTATATGATAAAGTTTTAATAAACTCAGTCATTTTAGTCAAAAAGAGAATTGTTTTATTTTCTTGGACAATGCTAGACCTGTTTATCATAACATACCTCAAAAGCAGTCTTGAAAACAGTCCAAATTGGCTGCCTGTAGCAAATAGGAAATGTTGGATTGCTGCTATAAAGTTTTGATTGCTGCTATATTTCTTCTTAATAATGTCCTTATTTGCTACTCCTTAAAACCAACTACCTTTAGCCACGTTTTGCTACTTACAAACCTACTCTAAGGATCTACAAGAACTTGTCTAATTTTTGTTGGTTATCAAACGATTGATGTTTGCGAAATGTGGAAAAACTTTTTAAATCGCATATTGAACTAGTAGAATGTGAGATGGATGCAAGGCTCCTTTACCAAAAATGGCCATTGGTAACAACGTCCATGTTTTCAATATTTTGTTTTTGATGAGAGGATATTTTCATACAGGTTTACATAGGTTTTGGTTAAGTATGCAGGTTTATATAGATATATTTCGGAAAACATGCCTTTAGATCTTGGTATGCGTAAAATAACTACGTTTATTTGCCGGCAAAATGATACCTTGTGCTGGGAATTTACTTTCCTTTCAGTTGTGTTTTGCTTTTTTTATCATGATAATGTTTCATAAAAATTATTATGTGCAATTATCTTTGCCAATTTCGCAGTTTAGATTTATGGTTGATAAGTGCATCATTAACATTGTTTTTATTGTCTGTTTTAGTTCAATTCCTGTTTAATTACTTAATTCGAATCTGTTTGATGCTCTTTGACAATCTAAAGTTGGTTGTAATTTTCCAGTATATGTTCAACTTCTTTGCGTTGATTTCAAGAACAGAAATTAAATTGGCCCCATTGTCTCTGAACTATTTCCTCTGAACCAATCTCACTGCTCGATATCACTTGTTGAATTAGCAGGGACGGGCAACCTTTTTTACTCAGGGGTCAAACTTACAAAATTTCCTACCATGCTGGAGCGGGTCGGACCAGGAAGGGCTGAGCAAAATTGAAAGAATATTTCAGTGTAAAACTATCGCCATATATCAACTGAGAAGTGCAAACCTTCTGGTTTGCCAGGTTATTTCTCTGAGTGAGATGTTTTCTCCCTATCTTCCCATTTGAACTACATATCTTCAAATTTTCCGGTGTTCAGAACTAGAATTTCAAGAGAACATATATTTGCCAATAAATGCTGCTACTTAGGTTTTTCCAGTGGAGGTCACGTAGCTATTCTCAGATAGAGCTTTTTCAATTTTTTTTGCTATTGGCTCTTCTCTTGCCTACTAGTTTAATGGGAATAATTTTATACTATAGTAAATTGTTACACCTATCGAAAATGTTTTTACAATTACTGTAAAATTGAGCAGTCTATTATTCGCCAAGTTCACCAAGGAGCCAAGTCTAATTAACTGACGTAACAATTGGATAATTCGACAATTTGACGTCACAATTACGGACTAGGTCGACAAGTTTAAAAGCGGCGTTCAGCAATCAATCAACGAACTTTGCTCAAGCTTTTACAACTGTTCGAAGCTAAACAGAGTTTTATTCGATTTAAAAAGATATTCAAAGCTACAAGCTTACAATGAAAAGCAGTTCTTTTCATTATCAAATGGAAGCGGAAAGCAGAAATCAAGTCCACTCGAGGTAAGATTGATTTTGAATGAATATATTTATCAGAAAATCTGATAAATGTTCTAGGCCAGTTGAAAGATGTATGATAATGTACGATTTTAAATTTGCAGATACAGGCTAACGTTTACCGAAGTCTTTGACTGAAGCAAAGTCTTTGTAAGAAATTTGTAATACTACCAAATCGAATTGAAAATTGCTTATTTTCAGGAATTCTCAGTACGACGATCCGACTGCATGCGAGAGCTCAGAAGAAGAAGATTATTCTGACAGTTACTTTCGGGATGAGCATGAAACTCTTAGTTTTACTGCAACCGATCAAAAGGAAGATTTCGATCCCATAGCCAAAGAAGTGGAAAATCTGCGGGAATTTAGCAGACAACTATGGCAAAAGATCGAATTGTCTGCCAGACAGCCATGCAGTTCTATGGATTTTGATAAACTAGAAGAGGATGATTTGTCTGATGAGGTGCAAGAGGAAGATTGTCTTGCACTCTCCCAGCAATGCAGTTCATTGCAGACAGAAAGAAGAAAGCAATTGTCAGCTCGACGATCAAAGGGTCTAAAAAGAAAAAAGTCTAGACAAAATAAAGCCCCAAGGTCCAAGACTCGCAAGAAGGACATATTCTCCTCTCAGATAAGAAAATATCAAGAATTCGAGAGTGACAAAGATCAGTCAGGATATGATACTGACAGTGAAGATGAATTGGTTTATGCTACTGACAACCATCCCTGCGTGGTTGATGCTGCCTACAGTGTGCTTGAGAAATCTGGTCACCACTGTTCCATTTCTTCAGCTACTTCTTGTCACAGTACAAGCACGGAAAATCTTGAAAATGAGGATTCCGACTACCCAGAACTCGATTCAGATATTGAAATCGATGACCCGATGTTCTTTAGAGACGACGGCACAATGCCTTTGCCTGATTTTGACCCCATTGTGGAATCAGCTGATGACAATGATGCAAACGACGGACATATCCATAGGCATGAACGTAAGTTTATAACTTTTTCCTATGATATTTGAAAAATCATTCATATTTGAAATTCATTTTTAAGAATTTTATCATGCCTTACAGTATGCCTTATATCTTATTTTCTCATGCAGTCATTCAATTTGTTAGGAGTTTTGGTACTCGAATTAAGCAAATTTTATTGGCTGTCGATTTCTATTTTTTTAATAGTGAATAAGATTTTTTTTCCTTTATTCGTTATAGTCCATGAAGAAAACGATGACGAAAACAGTGACGATGGATACGAATCAGACCAAGAGGACGCAAGAAAAGGTTTTGCTCTAATACCAACACAGCAAGGCATGGCCATCAGATTCAAGAACTTTCAATCAATCGTACCATATCTAAACTCCTTGCTGCCAGGGCAACTTAACCAGAGCGGAGTCTTAAACTTGCACTATCATCCCTCAACATATCCATTCACAAGAAATGCACTCTCGAATTTCCAACGCAACATCGCTGCAGCTTTTGATCAGCCAATAGTAGATGAAGTTATAGTTATTGACAGCGATTCGGAAGATGAATCTGACGAAGTTGTAACTATTGACAGCGATTCTGAAGATGAAACGAATGAGGTAATAACTATTGAAAGTGATTCAGAAGATGAATCTCAAGAAGATGATTTGCCTCAGCAACAAATTGACAACAGGGAGGATGTATCTGCAGGAATTGCTTCTGACGACTCATTACCACGATATGAATCTGGAAGCATTGAACATGAAGAGTTGATCGATGAAGCAATTGATGGGTCTGTTGAAAACCTGAACTCACAGGAAGTGACATTGGAAAACCCTATATTAGAAGAACAGCCACAACATCAATGGTATCTTGATAGCAGTATTAGCCCGTTGGTGCAAAGCAGTCTTGTAAATGAACAACCAAATGAAGTTTTCCTAGCAGAGAATTCGTCTTCTGAAAATATGCCACCTTGCAGTGATGGAGAATGCCAAGCTGATGACGATTTGGATAGTGACGAGGTAGAAGTGGAAGAGTTATGCTTCTTTGAAAATCGTCAGAATAGAGATGAGGATCAGGATGAGGAAAAGGTATGGCTGTAAAAATAATACTATAACAGAATTCTATGTTCGGTTTTCAAAATATATGAATTTCAAATTATTTCAGATCATTATTATTCAGATTATAATTAACTCATAAAGTGAGAGGGATACATAAGTCGTCACTAATGATTTTAAAGATGTTGGCTAAAGGTGGCAACCAGTCCCAAGTTCGATGTGACAAATTCCATTTGATTGCTGACTAAATGGTATCTCCAGTGATATTATTTAGCACTGGCCTATGTTTGATAGGACAAATCTGTATCTATATATTCTTTGTTTTTAAATAATGCTAACATGAAGTCTTGCACCCAGCACTGATTCCAGTTGGAGAAAGATTTCACTTATACTAAATTTGGAACCCCTCATAAAACCCGGCAGACGATTAGAACATGTTTCGAAATGTCACAAATTTCAAGGGCCTCCCCAACAACACATCTTATTGGTAATGGACTTCTAACCATCAATCCAACATTCCAACATCATTGTAAAATGCGCTCTTAAATATTTTTGAATGCAATTTATGTATATTTAATGCTCTTTCTATCCTTGTATAACTAGGCCAGTTTAAGTAGAAGTCTTATAAGTCGAAAGTAATGCTCTCAATGAAGTAAAGATCTTAAAATGAAAACAATATTCATGATTCTTATACTTATTGCAGGATGAAGACGACCTTCTAGAGCTTGCTTCTCTTGAGCAGCGGGAAGTGAACTCGGTCCAATTGTGTTTGGAAGCTAGTAGCCTGGAAACAAATGACGTCAACGGAAGTCGTGAATATTTTCCTAACTTTGAGGAATCGTATCAGTTTAGCCCTGACATGCTTCAAGAGAGGTCCAGGACACCGGACAGAATGTTTGCAGGAAATCAAAGAAAAGTAATATATTGTTATTGTGGAGCTAATCATAGCAATGAAAGTTACATTGGGGACTAAAGCCATGGAGCCGATATCAGCTTTGCTCTACTTTGATACTATAGTTGGATAGAAGCAAGAACATGAATAATATCTTTGCAACAGCACTAACTGCAAATTATGTTTGAACAAAACTTGAATGTCCTTGTTTGCATTCTGTAGCAAACTATATTTTAAGAAAAACTATAAATGATTACTGTTTTAAAAGCGAAATTGTAAAAAAATTGAATCTATATTAGAATACCATATAAGATTGTTAATGTAGCATAAATTATGAAGAACATAATTGTCTTACATATGGAGTTGACTTTGACCTTTTTTGTAACTCCTTTTAAAATTTGCGAATTCAATGGACCAGTTGAAGTAGTTGTATAGACCCTGCGGTGCGTCAGGGTTTACCTTTGATCCAATCGATATACCAAGGCTGCTTGCGATGTGGTAGATATTGCCATTACCTCGCAAAAATTTGAAGAACATGCATTTCATATTTACAGAAATGCCTTCTTTCCTTTTTGTTTGGTTTGGAAAAAGTATTTTGAGAAAAATAGGTACCTTACAAGCAGTAGCGTAGCAAGGGGGCAAGGGGGTATGTGTGATATTTTCAGAGAAAAGTGAAATGTTTTAAATGATTGCAAGAAAATGACTGCAATGCATATTCTGGGTCGCAAAAGCTTTCTGCTCGCTTCGCTAGCAGGGGAGCCTCGTCTGTCCCTCTTAGGAATGTTACTCAATTTTCTTCATGCTCTTTAGACATTCCCGATAACATAGATACTAAAATGCTCGAATCCTTAAAACTAGTTACTGAAATGCTTGTGAAAGGTTTTCCAGATTTTGCCCCTAGCAAAATGGACTTAGTTTGAAGTATTTGAATGTTGTTAATTATTTCTAGATATTTGCATATATTTTCTGAAAAGTTGATTTTTACGTGTAGAGCTTCCTTGACAACACGGTTCAGAATATAAATGCGAGAGGAATTGCGAAGGAAATAGCCTGTTGTACAATGGAAAAGTCCAGCCATAGAAAGCTACATATGATTGTTATTGTGTTTGATTAGCCAAATATTGTCACTTAGAAAAAACCTATAACTTTTTCAATTTATTTTATAAAATGGGGCGTCTTCAAAATTCCTTAAGGGTGTGGTCAGTAAAAATGTTCTTCTTTGCCTCTCCAATCTTCAATCCCTGGCTACACCACTGCTTGCAAGTTACAGCCTTTTTTAAATTGTCCGGAAGGTTGGAAAAAGTTGACCTGATGTTTGACGTTGTTCCATTTTTTTCCGTATAAGCGAAGGTTACATAAAATTTATGTGAAGATAAGAGATTTTACAATATGTTCACAGCCAAAGCTACAGAGGAAATCAGGAACTTATATTTAACATTATGAATGATTTTCAACTGCCAGTATATCTATATGGTTAAATCTAAATGGTTTCAAGTAGAATCATCAACGGTTTCTTAAAAGTGTGACACGTACTATGACATGTAAAGTGTTTAAAGTGTGTGGTTAGTTTGAAATCACTAAATTCTGAATCACGGATTCTTTTGTGGCGTTTATAAAAGGACTCGTTTCAAAAGATTGTCCAATTCACAAGAAACAGGTAGAAAGGATATAGTTTTAGTCAAATTATTATGGGGCTTCTTGAAACTTTAGCTTAGCTTATCGTTTAAAATATAAAAAATCTTGACAGCATATAGATGCTCTATTTACAGTCAACATATCATTTCAAATACACAATGTTTGCTGGAGCTCTGTTGATGGGAAAATATGTTGGGAAATCCAAGACCTGTTCTTGAAAATTTAGCGATTTAGCCGTTATTTGAATTATTTGAGTCTCTTTTCTGATGTTTTTGAAAAGTTTTTTGTTAAATTCAAACAATATGCCAAGCCTGTGATAGTAAAAAATAATATCAGTCCACTCAATATGCGAAAGAAAAAAAGAAAAATTAAAAACATTATTAAATATTAAAAACAACATAAAGAGGAAAATGCTCGATAGGATCTAATGCTGGTCCATTGAATGTAAAAAGAGAGATCAGGGGCTGCTTTATATCCTAATTGCAGGGTGGGTATCAGATCGTAAGCCCTCAGTTAAGAGTATGACCACACCAACGAAAGTAGGTGTAGTTTGTATACTTCTAGTTATTGGTATATTTTCAGTTGATCAATATACCAGCAGAATTTAAAATGCAGCTTTGCGTGATCTGTGCAATTTTAAGAGCAATTTGGATTCAGGCTATTCTCTCAATATGCGAAAGGTGTTTCAAAACAGCCAGATCCAACTACAGAGAAACATCGTTTTTGATAAATAAATGCAATGCGTTCGAAGGCATTATCAATGATCGCCTGATACGATTAAGTGACAAAAAATATTTAATGGAAGCGGCTAGGGCGCAATTTGAACTGTAAACTGATAAAAATTGCAGACAGTCAATTCTTCTGTACTGTCCGCCTGAGTTTATATATTTAAAGTAAGCGTCAAAAACTATTTACAATGAATTTCCAAAAGCATTTGTCATGTTTATTTTGAAGATTTGTGATGCATAAAATGGTAAAGAGCGACTAATTCAAATAATTTGTGCTGTTTTACAAAAGTAAGGGGCAACTAAGGCCTGAAGATGGAAGACAGGGGTACGACATGGATGTATCCACGATTGTTCGTAGTGTCTAATGAACGTGGTTTGCTATGATATAGTAGGTTAAGGTATGATATGTCCTAGCCAACAGAGAATAGGTGCATTTACCCATGAAACCGAATATCGACAGCAGGGTAAATGCACAGGCTTGTTTCGTACATCCTGAAAATTTCATCACAAAGCTACCCAATATCAGCATATCTGGTAACGATAAAAACTATCCAAAACTATTTGAATAAATAGAAAGGATTGGCATCTTCAGTAGCTTTTATAATTTTTTCATAGTAACTCTCAAATTCAGTTTTAAAATCTTAGAACTGTGTCAGGCATCAGAAAAGCCCATTTGCCGTCATTGCTTTTTCGAAGGGAAATTTGCTGCGGGGGTAAACCTTTGATTATAAAAAGAGGAGGACAAGAGCCAATTTTTAAACAACGGGAAGTCATTGAGGTTGGAGGGACTATTGTCTCCTAGTTAGTATGTTGAAAGGCCTTGTTTGCAGATTTTGACAAAAATTACAAGGAAGCAATTTACAGTCTGCAACTACCATTAGCTAAAGGTTACTTTTCCCATATTTAACCAAGCCCACCCCCCCCCCGCCCTGTTGAGCTCGAATGAAGCCTTGAAATTTAGCATTAAAAAGAAAAGATGTGATCGACCTTTTGCCACCCGGGCCAGACTACACCTGATGGCAATTTTCAGCGCAAAACCAATGTCTGGTGACGTAGAGACAAATTTTCCAAAACTCTTTGAAACTAGAATGTTGGCCGCATTTAAAAACCTTGACAAACCACAACATTACGTCTTGCAAATGCCCGAAGCGTTCTTTATTTTTCTTCTTTTCGGGGGGAGGGCATTTTAAAAGAGGTTGGTGTTTTACTGTAGTATATAATGTAATCAAACAGTTTTTTAAATCCTAAGCCACAAATATATTTCAGTAGCAAAGAAGGATGCTTTTCGACGAAAATGACTTTAAAACAGTTTCTGGTTGATCTTCCTAGGCTCGAGGACAAGCATTCGGTAGTGATCTGAATATGCTCGAGTTTGGGATAGACGTCTTCAAGACTTGTCACTTGTGATATACCATACGTACTCATTAGGAGGTGTGAATGTGAAGGTGCGACAGAAACACCTGAGAACCTGAGGTGCATTTTAGAGAGCTTATGGAAGAAGTCAATAGTCTACACTTTTAACTGACATCTTGTTGGTATTTTTCAGAACAGCCATTTGCCAGACTAGGCTTTGCTGCTCACATTTGGCGGGAAATGTTGCTGAGCATTTTGTTCACACTTAGACCTTATATATTCGTTTGTTTGCAAACAAAGTGTAGATCTGATATATTTGCAAACAAAGATGATACCTTTTACATCTGAAATTTCAGATCACGATTTGTAAGTGAAGATTGGCCATACAGAAATGAAAAAACGAACGTATTTGTATGCAAAACAAAACTAAATGATGAAGAAATGTAAATAAAAGATGTTAAACGCCTAGTATATGTTAGTAGTTACAAGATATAACGTCGATATGATTTGTAAAACATATTTATATCAGATTTTGATAATATATTTACAATCACCTTACATATTTTGTATAATAGAATTTGCACCCTGGGTGGAGAATACCAGCCTCCGTCCTTTAAAGCAATCCGTACCACTGATCCCAAGAAAAGACTGGATCGAGCTTCTCCAGCCCAGCGTTGAATCCACTTGGCAGCTTCCATCTTGAGACCTCGTCTTGTTGTATGAGACTAGAGTGCAATCATATTGGTTTTAGTTCAATTTACTTTTTCAAAGCAAAATTCAAAGTAACCATTGACCTAAAAACTTGCAGCATTCGTAAGTGACGTTAAACATTTTTGCCGTGATATTAAGCCCATGTAACGGAGAATCCACTGTTCACTTATTTTCCTAGGCCTGTTGTCTCTTAGAATATTTAAGAATTTAATGATTAATGCACAATTTAAAGGGCAACACTGTGTGTGCACCATTTTAACAAACGCCAGCCTAAAGCTTTAGACTCGAGAGGTCTCAAAATGGAGAGATTCGATCGCTTGTTCGATCCAGTCTTTTTTGAGAAAAAAATTTCAGATATTTTTTCTTGATTCCCTGTGCTTTTTTCGAAAGACAGGGAACCGAGGGATGTGGTAGGTGATGGTGGTGCAATAAATGTGTATTTTTTTATTTAGAGGTTCGTTTTCAAAAGGAACAGTCTTGCTTGGTAATTACAAAAAATTAGGCAAACAGCTTCAGGTTTAAATGGCTGAAGAATCAGGTGGACCTCCATCAGATAGACCATCATTTAACTGGTCGATTTTATCGCATACATATGACTCTGGAAATAACCGAACCAACAGCAGAGGCAGGTCAGAGAGAAACAGAGCTACCTGGCAGAGTGGCAGGCAACAAAATAGGAGAGGCAGGGGACGAACAGATATTCGTTATGACGGTAGACCTAGGCGGGATAGAGAATTTTCTGATAATGAAACCGATTTACAGGGGCAAAGTGACTCTGGGTACTACAATAAATTTGCTGACAAATATGGAGTCACAAATCACAGCAAAGGGACAGGTGCTGTAAACATGAACACAACAGCACGTGGAAGGGGCCGACAAAGAGGGGACAAGTCAAGAAGAGGGGTATCTAAGGAATGGAGAGGCATGTCTGAGTGGGGTGTTCAAGAGGCAGAGAGAGGAGACCAGAGACGTAGAACAGAAGGAAGGCATTTTGAGAATCAGGAATATGCAGAGTTCAAAGATGAGAAATTTGATAAAATGAAGAAACAAAATGATAATGCTAGACATGCAGGCCAAGCCAATGGAACAAAAAGTGTTGTTGATGTTGAACCTGTGAAAGGAAATATTGTAGATGGTAAATATGTGAGACTGAAAAAAGATAACATTCACTCATCATATAGAGAAGGACAACAATCAGTGAATCTTTCAAGGGAAAGAAATGGATCTGCTGCATCATACCAAAGAAGAGGTAATGATAAGCTAAAAAAGGCCAACAAATGGTCAAGAAAACCAATAGATTCTGAGCAAGCCCGTGTCTTAATAGAACAGCTTGTTGAGGAAAGTTACGAATGCATGGTTTGCTGTGAATATTTGAGATCCTCTCAACCCAGCTGGTGCTGTCAGAACTGTTATCACATATTTCATCTGAATTGTATCAAGCAGTGGGTCAAGTCAAGTGTAGCTACATCTGCAGGTAACATAAAGTTTAAGTTTACTTCAATTTCTAGTAAGATAAAGCAAGTTGTACCCAAGTTCTAAACATACCCAGGCTGTTTACGTTTAGAATCTTCTTAATCAAAACAAGCAGATTTTTAGATAGTAAATTTTCTGTGAAAAAAACTTATTGGAATTGTTTGCTTAAAACGATGACTAGTAGTTTTTTTATCAAAAGTATTGATATTGCCAACTTCTTATGTTTTCAATTTTATTATAATTTATCCATCTGTCAAATTGAAGGGGATGTCAATGGATGGAGGTGCCCAGGATGCCAAAATGTAACAGAAAAGATGCCAACAAACTATATTTGCTTCTGTGGTATGTATAACATCTTACCATTGACCTGAGATTCTGTTTAAGATAAGGATAAACTTATTCCTCACTCTAGACGCATTTGATGTCTAATCCAATATATGTTTTTTGTTCCCAGTGAACCTTGTTTGCAGTTTTCTCAGTTCCTGTTCAACACCTTAAGTCATTTATGTGTGATGTATTTATGAATACTATATACTCTTAAAATTCATTTTCATCACTTTTTTTGTTTTTTCAAGGTAAACTAAAAAATCCTGAGTGGAATCCTAGGCATGGTATTATTCCCCACAGTAAGTGTATGAAGAATAAATTATTTGATAATTTGTATGACAGTTTTCTAATTTTTTTGTGAATTCATAGAACATGCTCTTTATTTTTGATTAAACTGTCTTTTTTGATACTTAAGATCTTTGGTATAGCAGAAAAAAGTTGATGCATTCCATATATATCCTGTGAAACTAGTTTTTCTAAAATTATTGTCCATAGTCATAAATGTTGTGTGGACACCAAATATAGCAATATTTCAGTCCAGAACTTGAATGTTTTCAAATTTTCTTTTTTCAACAGAAACATCATTTCCTGTTTGATCAACACTCATTCTTTATCTAGGTTGTGGGGAAGTTTGCAAGAAGCAAAGGACTTCTCCTCCATGTAAACACCTTTGCAATGAGTAAGTCACGTATCAAATTGATATGTATCATGTCACTGCTGTACATAATGTATGAAGTATAAAATTTGGTTATTTACAGCTTTCATGTGCAAATAGGTAGCAAGTTTATTTTAGTAAATATATGTACATTGAAAGTTCATACAAAAACCAATAAGGTTCATACAAATTTTTTCAGGCAAATAAAAAATGCTTCTCACATGTAGCTATTAAAGGCACAGGATTAGGCAGATATCTAGAAATGATTTTGAAGAAATTTGAAGTGTTTTTGAAGAAAATCACTGTTCTATAGTTTGAAGACAGTCTTATGAATTTTTAATGCTAGCAGGAGTTGTTGATAAAAATTTTGCTAATTAAATCCCCTCATTTTTGTTTTGCCATGATCTTGAGATCACAGAAGTCAAGTAATTTGAGTTTTTTGCACTTCTTATGTTTTAGGAAGTGCCCAACTTTAATTGTACTGCTTTCAAGTTGTTTGTTGCAACCATTCCAATAAAAAAATTGTTAAATGATTCACCCATATATGTGCTTATATGCAAACATATACCTACTGGTGTGATGGTGTGTACCCACTAAATCTGAATTAATTTATTTGTACTTGAAATCTCTTTATAGGCTGTGCCACCCAGGACCATGTCCTTCATGCCCCGTTATGGTGCCTAAAGAATGCCCTTGTGGAAAGACCAAGTGAGCCTTATTATCTATTATGTGAATAATAATGATTGCTTATGATTCATAAAAGATTACTTTATGTGTATTAGGTTTGAAAATATTATAACATCAAAAAACTTAAATGTCCTTCATTTTCCAAATGTTTAATTGTTGCTGCTTGAATTAGGTATTTAAAGAGAGTGTCTACAGGATAATGCAATTTTCATTTTTTAATGTCTTTATTTTCATTCGAATAACAAAAAGTATATTAGCATCCAATATCCACTTTCAACATTAATTGCTACTCATTATAGAACAAAAATGCGTTGTGGCCAATCAGTGACTTTGAACTGCAAGAATATTTGCAACAAAACTCTAAATTGTGGAATACACAGATGCCTCCAGCAATGCCATGAAGGTATGCCATCCCACCAGCAATGCCAACAGCAATGCCACCACAAATCTTCTATGCTTAATTTTTCTTGAAAAGTTCATTATTTCTTCATCAAGTTCATCAGATAAAGACTTAGAATTTCTTATCATTTAGGTTCTCATAAGATAATAAGTTTTGATTCGCCACACATCCCATTAATTGGTTATTCTTCAACAATCCTTGCTTAAATTGTCTTGAACAATAGGAATGATTTTGTTAAGTATGTAATAAATGCTTTGCATTTATGGCCTAAATTAATACTTTTTTTGACTGATAGCTTCTTCTTACAGGTCCTTGCAGTGTGTGCGAAGTAACTGAAGAACAATGTGAGTCAATCCTTGACACAATCCTCATCAATCCTAGTACATGTCAACATGACTTCCTGAAAAACCCTCTATTAAGGATTTTGATGTTATTCGACTGCTCTTCACTGGAAAGCTATTTCATTTAAGTCATATTGTTACACAAACTTTTTTAAATAAAAGCATGTTTGTAAGAAATGTACTTGTAATGGCGAGGTTCTTGTGTGATTGAGAAATTTTACTAGTACATTGTTACAACTCCAAGAAACTTCACAAATGTGGGTTATTTCTTTGGCATGTCATCACTCCAATTTTATAAGTTACCACCATCTTTATATTGTGCTCAAAAGAAGCCATATTGAATCAATAATATTTGTTTCCTGGAAATTAAAAGATATGTAGGAATCTAAATTTTTGAAATCCATATAATTCAGGACTCTTCATCCATAAATATATACCAAAAGAGTTTTAGTAATTTTGAATAATATGCTTTTGTCTTTGTCAACATCCAGTCAGTAGTATTGAACACTACATATCACATTGACATAGGTTGTAAAAATTAGCTAATAAACTAGGCCATTGATTATATTATCATTATTACAAGTCCGTTTATTTAAGACATGTTATTATATTAACCAATACAAATCCACCCACTCTGTTTTTCTCTGAGCAAGTCTACATGTGTCATGTACCGCCCCAAAAAATAAATTGTCTTTCTTTTCGAATTGAAAAAACCATGAAGAAACTCCACTGGTAAAACTCTGAAAAATTGAAAAACTTTTCCTGAAAGTTCTTTAATTTGTTTAAAAATTGCACCATTTCTTAATTTCCAAAATTGCTGGAAGTCTTTATTTATACATATCTCACATTATTTTTTTTACACTGTTCCGTTTCTTAATATCTCTGTTCATTTCAGATTGCTATTGTGGCCAAGAAAACAGACAACGAAAATGCGGAGGAGGTATGATAAATCTGTTTAATTTTTAAGCATTCGGCAGTTAAAAAGTTTCCTTCCAATTTTGGTGTTGAACACAATTTCAGGAAAAATTACTTTGATGAGGAATAAAAAAATGACCTACCTTGTGAGTTTAGAAGTAAGAATCAGTTAGAAAGATCTTGGAAATTTACTGTCAATTCAGTCGATTCAGCCATCCCTGTCTCTCCTTTGAGAATATGTTGGTTCACTACAAAATGATGGAGGGGTTGGAAAATTAGCCGAAACTATCAACATTGTTCTAGGGTAAGGAAGGCGAAGATATGTCTTGCAAAATGAAAAATGCATAACTTTTAGCACTTTGAGTTTGTCTTAGATTTATAAAACTACAGTTGTGTCTCAGAGACACCAGTTTATAAGAAGTATAAACGTGATGTAGAATGATCCTTTATTTCTCTTTATATCATGAAATTTGAGCAATTTTTCGACCATTGATGCATTTTAGATAAAAGTGGTACGATGACTGACAAGACAGGGAAGACAAAGTACTCTTGCAAGAACACTTGTTCAAGGTAATAAAGATTTTAAAATTGTGTTTCCTTGAGTAAAAGAGCTGCCAATTTATTTTTTCAAGAGCTTGAGATTCTTGAGAACTGGCGCAAAAGAATTATTGATTCCAGCATCATTTTTAAAGTATTCTTCTGTGTTGCAGAACGCTCGATTGTGGCAACCATTCTTGTTCACAAATTTGCCATCCTGGATCGTGTGATTCGTGCATCTTTCTGCCAAAAAACGTTGAATTTTGCCCATGTAAGCAGACTCGAATAACAGATCTCTTGCAGCCAGATGAGATGAGGAAATCGTGTCTTGATTCTATACCTTGCTGTAAGAACTTTTGTGGGAAAAAGCTCCAATGTGGCTCACCCGGTAAGTAAGCATTGCTAATACATGCATATTTTGCTTCCCACTGGCAGCAGCTAGGCCTTTTCTGCGACTTTTATATTCCTCTTGGTCTTTGTATCTTTTTTTCAGCATCATGATGTTTTTGTAAATACAATTGCGTTCAGTTGTAACGTGACAACTATCTCGATTGATAGCTTTTTAACCACATCTCTCTATAAAGTTTCTTCCGCATAGTTTTTCTAATTTAGATAGCTGAATATTAACAGCTGCTCATTATTGATAAAATATTAAAGTAGCTAGCCAATTTACCCATTTACAAGCTTTCTTATCTTTTCCGAACTTTTCCTAGAGGTCTGCCTAGGCCTATTTGATCTGACTTTGCACATTCATTCGTCTTCTGGTATTTTTAGATACTAAAAACCTTTTTTCTCTAGATGAGCCTCATCACTGCAAACAGATATGTCATGTTGGTCCCTGTCAGCCATGCGATGGGGAATCAAAACTGCTCTGTCGATGTCACAGTACACAAACGGTATTCCCTTGCCTTTTAAGTGTCTTCAAACAGTGTTAGAAGTTTTGGTCATTGGGCTGGTTTTTGTTACCCGTTCGTTGTCATTTATGCAATGAACTGAGCTTTTCGTTGTATAAGCTCTTAAAAGCCCATTTATTTTAATTCAGCTTTTGTGATAGTTGTTTCCATATTTTCAAATGGCTCAAAAAAGTGGCAAGATAACACAAGGTACTGTAGTTAAGATAATTCACTTGTGCCGCTTGCTTGTGGTATTGAAATTTTGCACAACGAAAGATTTATATAGTTGTTTTCATGTTCTAGGAAATACCGTGCAAAGACATCAATCCAGGTAGTTAGAATTTGTAATTCCAGTTGCTTCTCACTTATTGCCAGGACTCGTTGTCAGTTTTACTCAACATATTACTTTATTTATTTGACAAATTCTCACCTGGCAATGAGAATTTGTTTGTTTAATTAACTTTTCAGATAGGTATTATTCCTTTAGGTTCAGTAGATTAAATCATGAAGAATAACCTTTTTCGCAGAAGGAAACTATCATGATGAATTTTTCAAACACCAGGGGCGTTACTCGGTATTGTGTGGGACATAGATATAGCAACAATAAAGAAGCAAGTAGTTAGTGCGAGTTCTGGTTAACCATTATCTAATTTTATCTTTAATTGTTTAAGAAAAAGACATATTGTGTGAAAGAAGGTGCAACAAGAAACGTAGATGTGGCCGACACAGATGCAATCAAAAGTGCTGCGTTGTGAGTTAACGTTTTGAACGTTAAATGACTGGTCAAATTGTGTTTTATTGGTGTTCAAGAAAGACTGTTCTTCAATACGTCTTGTCTCGGAAGACAAAGTTGCTTCAGAAATCGCTTACGAAATTTAATATTTAATGGAACTTTCGATGTGGATCTTCACTTATGGGGAAATTTATATTTCGGCAACCAATGTTGCTATTTCCTCAACATTAGGAGCCTTCTCGAGAACAAATCTGGTGAAAAGACTACAAGTTTTTTACCCCTGGTGCTGCTTTGAAAAATCTTCATGCTTGCACATTAATACCTTCATACCTTAATTTTCTAGATATTGCTAATTAGCTTTTGTTTTATCAGGACAAGGAACACAACTGTCAACTGATTTGTGGCCGAAAGTTGTCATGTGGGCTTCATAAATGCGATGAGCCATGCCACATTGGAAACTGTCCTCGATGCTGGCAGACAAGTATGTTTACTAATAAATAAAATTTATTGTTGAAAGCATCGTAGATAGTTTTGATTTTTGAGAGGCACATAAACTTTGCATTGTTAAAAGTTTGTTATCTTGAGAAGATTATGAAAGGTCAGAAATCAATAGAGTTTGATGTGATTTAGGATACAAATTAAAGTGCAGTTTGTTTGCTTATTAGAATATCATTCATTGCCTCATTCATTCTAGCGATAGTGTTTGAAACAAAGGCGACATTAATTGCGATATTCATATGACTTAAAGATTAGGAGGGCCTCCCGTTTTACATGAAAGGATCTTCGAAACGATTTCGTCTGAAGCATCGAATTGAGAGTCACGATATAATAAATTGGTTTTATTCACCCTGCGGATCTTAATTCTGTTTTTTATAACCGTAAAATAGTGCAATGATTTTTCATTGTCTTTATTTCCTATCATTATATAATGATTGATCTTGTAAAATGTTTTTAAAGGTTTTGAAGAACGCACCTGTTACTGCGGAGAAACAGTGCAGTACCCACCAATCCCCTGTGGAGCACCACTGCCTAACTGCCAAATGCCTTGCAGCAGACCGCACCCTTGCCAGCATCAACGTATGTAGACTTTTTGTGATTCTCTCATTGTTATTTGTTTTCAACGACAGGATTAATAGAACTATGGGTCGTGGCTCCATTATTGTCTCAATCTTAATGTTCAGTAAATCCGTAGATATAAAAGTAAATCTGACATCCATTTCAAGTTACTCAAGTTTAAGAACCCGTTCTCAGATCCCAATGAATCCGTGCCAAAACGAGCATAGATAGGGTTCCTGTTTGCCCTTGCCCTGCTGGACCCACTCCAGTGCGGATCTTATATTTGTGCCAGTTTAGGAACATTCTTTAAGGTCAACCCGTTTAGTTCCGTTGCGGTTCAGGTCCTAACCTCACTCATAGACTGCGTCATCTAAAAAAATTACACTTTCAAAATATCGTCTTTAATTCCAGGAATAATAGAGATATTGCATGCTGTCAACTGAATAACATGCTTTATCTCATTAAACAGCAAGTCACTCTGTCCCTTTGGTAATCTCATAAAATTTTATACCGTCCTTTTGCAGCTCAGCACCAGTGCCATAGTGAAGAAAGATGTCCACCCTGTGTAATTCTTACCCAGAAAATGTGCATGTGTAATCGTGAGGTAAAGTATTTTCTTCGCAGCTCCTAGATACATTTAAATTAATTCTAATCAGATGAATATTCGCATAGATGAAGAAGTCCAAGTAGATTTTGTTACTGTGAAATTTGAAGATGGCACGAAATAGTGTAAACATAGCTTATTGAAGAACTTTTCGTCCGACCCTCTTCAGAGTGTTAACTTCGGATAATGACCGATAGTAAAGAGAAAATTTTTATCCAAGTATGGATCCAAAGCAACGTGAGAGGGATCGAAAGCAATGTGAGAGGAAGAAAGACTCATTTGATTGGTTTAGACCTCTCACTGACTTTTGTAGACAGAGAAGCTAGCGGTCACTAACTGGTAAAAAACAAAAGAACCAAGCAAATGTGACATTTTTCCTCTTTGTTCTTCAGTGTGTTACGTTTCCGCCATTTCGTGCCGTTTTCAGATTATGACGTATTGAAGATGTTTCTTCAGTGTTCTTCTTGTATCGAGCAGTGAAAATTCATCTTTTGTGAAGGCATTTCCATACTTTTTTTCATTTGGCATTTTCTGACAATTTACACTTCTTTCAATTCAGTTGCGAAGAAATGTACCTTGCCATATAGCCAACGTATCCTGTGGCAAGCCCTGTGAGAAGGAGCTGCCCTGCAAGTCTCACAAATGCCAGAAATTATGCCATTCGGTAAGTGATTCGATTTTCTGATTGATTACAGATTTAATACATATCGGATATTTTTCTACATATATCTACATTTTTGGTGTAATTTACGTCAACCAAAGGTAATGAATCATTTTATTAGTAAATACCAATCAAAAGGGTTGGAATCTTTTTAAGTAGGAAAAGCTCCATCCTAAACCAAAGTTATTATATCAAATATCATTGAAGAACCAGAAGAAACGTCATTGTAACCGAGTAAATTTTGTTGATGGTTCTGGTATGACTATATGTAAAAAGCGAGACAGGGCTATAGCTCTAAGGCAGAAAGAGCAAGGACCGCGGACCATGTTACACATTAAGTGGGTTAAAACGTTTTCGGGGAAGGGCTAAACATGCTAAAAACGAAGAGCAGGGTGATTTTTGTATGATTTTACGTACATTTGTAAATTATTGGGGGGGGAGGGAGTAAAGCCCCGTAGCCCCCCCCCCCGCCTCCGCGGTCCCTGAATAGTTAGTGTTCTTTTAATGATTAAAAGACAATTTCTTATATCCCGAAGCTCTGTTTGGTTGCAAATAAAAAAAATATCAGTTCTTCAAAACGTACCTGTCTGATGCTTTCTCTGATTGCCGGTTTTTACCAATGATAGGGTGATTGTCTTACTGATAACGAGCGTTGTCGTCAGCCTTGTGCAACAAGCAGAAGAGACTGCCCGCATCCTTGTGGATCACCTTGCCATGTTGGCGAGGACTGTCCTGAGGGGCCTTGCAAGAGCCAGGTATTTTAATGTTGTGTCATAAGCAGCTACGTGCATATTTATTTTTTGGCTGCTATATCAAAAGAGTTATATTGAGAGGGATGTATGTTTGTACCAGGAATGCACTTCAGTACTGGATTCTTCTGTGGACTGCTCTCTCAGTAGATCTAATTCTTGGTAACATTTAAATGAAGTAATTTATTGTCAATTTACAAAGGAATTGTAATTGAAAAGACTAATTCGCTTGATTTACACAAGTTGGACTTTTGACTGGACTGATGTAATACATTTCAGGGCCTAAATGCTTTGATTTCTTAAAACTTCGGATCCAAAATATCTTGTTTCAGACCAGGTATATAATATCTAAAAAGTGTTTTGACTGTGAAGAAAAAATTCATTCATATTTAAATGAAATTTAACATTTATTTAATTACAGTCGCTCGTTACAATGAGATGTTTGGTTCAAAAGGTCTTTATGTGTAATCGCAAATATTTTTATAGATAACAGTTAAATGCAAATGTGGACGAAAGTCGGAGAAAGTGTTATGTTTGGCGGGAAATGCAACGTCACAATATCACAGGTATGCTGTACAGACCTTTTTGTCAATGTTTTCTAGCCTTTTTGAAAGTTATGTTCCCGCTGTATTTGATCTGTTTGTGCTCAATGAGTGCCATGACATTTGGTTACATCGAATACAAATGTGCTTGCGATCATAAATTTTTCAGGGGTGTAATGAAAGAAAATATCCACGATAGACACCAAATTGATGGCAAAAACATTAAATGCCAAGGTGATATGCCTTTTTTCGTGATGCATTGCCACTTTTGTGAGGTAAGGTGTAGTATTGATGGGAACTGTTCTTCCATATTGGATTACTCTAGGTGATTCTAGCGCTCTTGGATGCCTGAAAAGATTCTGGCGCCCTTTGAAGAGAAATATTGTATTCCTGATCAAAAGAATTCTATCAATGAGCATTGCTCTTTCTAGCATGGTTCTTTTAATGAGACTAAAGAATTCTCTTACTTTGCAGGTTTGCTTCTGGTGCCTTAGGAGACAAACTGAGGAATCTTAGATCTGGAGAGTCAGTGGATCTTAGTGGCTTAATGCTTGCAGAAAAACGTAGAGGGTGAGTTTTCCAATCATATTATCAAAAAAATTCTCGATGATCTCTCTGCAATGTTAACAAATTTCTGAGTCCATCATCTATGCCTCGCGGTCTTCTAAGGCCTTCTTCTAAACAGAACATACTTTTGATAATAATTTTGCTTATGGACCATGTGATTTTGGCTATGGTCACTTCAGAAAATTGTAGTGTTAATCGCTAAGTATAAAAAAATTCCCATACCACTGGAAAGTGCTGTTATTCAAATCTTACTTCAAATTGCACAATATACTTGGATGGACTTGGAAAAAAATGTTTTCAAGTTTTCAGGAAAAGAAAAGATACTATAAAAAGCGATACTAGACTCAATGAAGTGTCAGTTTTTCGGTAGTATCTGTGTATATTCGGTAGCTTTATTTGGTAGCCGGGAGTATTTGTTGTAACGTTGGAATTTATCTATTTGCTTTGATCACATAGGCTAGACTGTGATGAAGAATGTTCATTGCAGGAAAGACAAAGGTAGGTCCAGCTGTAACTTCCTGCCTGTACCTATTCGCAAGGCATGTGTAGTTGTCCAAATAAATATACCTATATTGCAACATCTCGTTTAATAAATAAGTCTCTCCTTGTGCCCAAAGGCAACAAAAGGCCTTTTTTACAGGTTCTTGGCAGTGGTTCCAACTTTTGTGGTGGCATCTGTTGTGAGACTGTTAGAACCGTTAGCATGTGATGATTTTTCTGTCTCGATGCCACCATTTACCTCATTTTCGTTTTGAGCAATGGTTGAATAATTTTCAAGCTTTGTGATGGCCTGCGTAAAGTGTTTCATTACATTAAAACAATCATTACAAAAAACGATGTAGCAAATTAGTCTATCTCTTAAATAAAGTTAAGATTATAGAAGATTAAAGTAGAACAGAGTCTTAAATGCTTACTGAATATATTGCAAATTTTTTTGTCGAGAATATCGAGATTCAATTTTTTTTAATTCTGCAGACTTGTTTTCATCGAGTAGTTTTTTATCTTATAATCTATCCCCTTGTTTTATATCTGTGGTTTTATGTTTTTATTCACAGAGTGCTTGCTGATGCTTTTGGCATTGATAATCCTGAAGCAAATCATTTCCCGTCAATACAGTTTTCTTATTCCTTACGAGAAGATGCAAAGTAAGTCTTGTTAGTTCTACCACAGTCGATTATCGTTTTCTCGAATTTTCAAAACACCAATTTGTTTGAGATAACAAAGTTCCAATGTAATAAACAGCTTGATGTCGTGCAATTTTCAATACAAGAATACACAAAAAAGATTTTTTAACTTTTTTTGAAAGACCTTTTTATTGTATTTTTCCAGCTCCCTATATCTTTGTCTGTAAAATCCTTCACGTGGTCAAACAAAAAATTTCCCACTTGTTAAAAAGACATGTACGCAAATTTTAGACCGCGAATTTTGGAAATCACTCACAAGATGTTTCAGTTTTTGCCAGGCGAGGTAAAACAGAAAAAAATCAAGTTTATTTTTATACCGACAGGCCACATCGAAAAGATTTGTTTCTTAAATGCAAGGATTCACTTAAATTACGCTGGTTACAGAAAGAAAGACACACGATTCATCCATATATGTGTGGCATTGTCCATGTGACAATGCCACACATATTAATTATTTCAGAAAAAAAATTTTTAATGAAATATTCGTTCAGTGTACAGTATTTTCTTTAGTACTTGTCAAAATCCTATTTCATTGTTCATTACTGTTTTCCAGAGCCCAGCTGCCACTTGTTAAGACTATTGAAGATGTTATTGAGAGTCTCATACAGAAATTGAAAAAGGTAGGCTTCCCTAACCAATTTCTTAGTAATTCAATATGCTTCAAGCAAGAAAATATTTTTTGGATCTCAACAGCTACAACAATGAACTGGTATTGTCTTGTATTGTCACAAAGCTTGTTTCCATGTTCTCGATTGCTCTCGATTGCGTGCAGGTGGTCTTTGAAAAAGTTGAAAATTATTCAGCAGTCGATAGGTTCTGTCTTGAGTGTATTTAGTACCATGCTGTGGCATTATCGACGTTTTAAATTTCCCTGTTATATATAACACAACTTCTTTCGCAATAAACAATGTTTTTTATTAAATCAATATGCAGAGCGTGAGAAGCCTTATCGATTTTTATTTTACTGCAACCCTGGGACATGTTGTTAGGGTCATATTGTATTTTTCAATTGCTCCATGATTGGAATGGCTATTATAAAGCATTTTGTACCAATTTGAGTTTCCTTAAAGCAAAATCGGTGTTGCCTTGTAGAGCTCTCTTTCACAAATTAGCCACTCATTCCCGCCAATGAACAACAGTCAAAGAAAACTTATTCACGAGTTAGCAGGACTCTACAATTGCAGGACAGCCAGCTATGATCAAGAGCCTAAACGGAATACAGTGCTCACTGCTACAAGGTATTTATATCAAGCAAGAATGACTTTGGTTGTTCTGGGAAGGATTGTTGAAAATGGGATTGCTGGATAGGAGTGTAGCAACAGTGGGGGAAGGTTGCAGGATATGTAGAAACGCAAGTGGGTTGCGAGGTCGTGGATGCCGTTGTATTTTGTTATGATCCTTGTAGGGCCAAGAGGAATTAATCAGCGCAAGCAACGTGCTGCAAAATTATGATGCATGTGGCTTTGTGAGAATAACTTATGCGATATGCATGTTAAATTGCAATCTCCACCTCTTGAGATCTTTTTTCTATCCCCCCGAGAACAAAGTTGTGATGGAGAGAAAGCAAGACAATTTTCAGGATTCTGGAACTTGGGTAATACAACCTAAAAGAACACGAAAGATATCCCTAGATGAAGAGTATCAGTTAAATCTGTTAAAAATGTCTGATACGTTCTCACTAAAAAGCACCAACGGTACTAAAAAGGTCACTGTTAGCTTGAATCGTACATTTTAGAATCAAAACCAAATTCAACTGATTTGATAGGAGAAAAACCTTTGCCTATACTTGGATATAATTAAGTTCTTTCTTCATATCGATGACTATTTTTAATGTCTTTTTAATTTATACTGTTCAATTTGAAAAATAATGAAAAATGTTTTTTTTAATTTTGAGAGTTTAAGGACTTTGCTTGACAGTTCACTGTAGCGTTTGTTGGTTGCGCCGTTTTTACTACCACCACTGCGAAATTAAAATTTACTCTAAATTGTGAGTGTTCTATTGCAAGGGAAATCTGGTGAGTGTTCTCTTGTGGTGACCTCATTACAAATGTCACTTGCAGTCGTCTTTTCAACAAGCCTACGCCACAAGGATGTCCTATCTTTTGCTTTGTATGTTGTCTTGTACTCACGGCCACAAGTTGTCCTGGCCGTTATCTCTCAATCTTCAATTAGAATTTGTTATCTTATCGATGCACTGAAATTTGAAACACTTCTTCTTATCTTGTTTTGCATGTAATTTCGTCAGATTGACGTTTTTTTCAAATGTCTGCGAGCCCATTGCTGCAGGTTTCGATCTAGCTGATAAATTTTCTATTCGCAGAGAGTCTTCTTTGATAAATCCAAAGTTATCAACTGTTGTTGAGCGCAGGGTGAATAAGCCGATGCCCAGCCCTGTTCTGAATTTTGCTGAAAAGCCATTGAATTTTCAGGGGTGAGTTCATCCTGCACTTTTCCTTGAGAATGTCAAGACCATAGAAACGTCAAGAAATTGCTTATTAAGGCACTCTCTAGAGCTGAACCCATAGGTAAATGCTGGTTTGAGCGAAGAAGACGATTTGTGTACTCAAAGTAAATGCCTCTTTCACAACGACGGCAATTCTTGCAATATAACTTCAATACTACGATTGATCTCACAATAAATTATTCAATTTCGTAAACATTTTAAAACAGATGTTGTTTTAGGAGACTGTTGATTTTTGAGAGAATAAAACGCAAAAGCTTCACTCAGAACGCTCGAATTGAAAGCTCCATTTTCTTGACTAACTCCTTTCAACTTTTCACATTTTGTTACTAATCCTGCAGTAGTTTTTTAACCATGATGAAATTGATCCAACGTTTCGGTTACGAATCCCGCATATTACGGAGAATACGATGCCACAGAAAGGGAATGTCTTTTCAGTTTCCTAAACTATCTATTGCTATCATCTGACACATAAGTATTCAAGGGCTAAATTAATAACTGCAGAAATATTGCTGCACTTTCCATTTTATATCGGCAATTTCACGGCTTTGAACTGCCAGTGCCGTCAGTTTTTTCCTCTTTATTTGTACCAAATGTTCGCCCTTTTTCCTATACTGGCTCAAATCAACTTTGATTTGACCTCATTTTGCTTCTTTTCTTCAAATGATCTTCCAAAATTCAGAAAGGCTATCAATTGCTAGACCGTTTCTGTCTTTTAAACTTTCACTCTTTGACTGATTTTTTTTTCTTGCTCAACAGGATCCCAAAGAAAAATGACGATCTCAAGACGAAAGAAACATTTTCAATCGATTATTTTGATGACGATCTACCTTGAGCAACTTTGTATTAGTTTGATAGGCTCTTGTTGTTTACCAATGTTGTTACAAACTGTTTTTCAACAAGCATTTTTCTTGTTTATGCTGACATTAATTTTAATGTTCTAATTGTCATGTGATTCTCTCCGAGATCCACAGACACTTAAGGGCGAGCGCGACCTTTTACAGTTTTTCGTGTGTTTGAAAACCTAAATTGTTTTTGCTAACCTTTATGCTGGAATTCGGAATACAAAACAACGTACTTTAAATTCTTCAGCGGTACCAGCACGAGACCAGATCAATATCATAAAACGTTATCCGAAATTAAATTTCCCGCTATGCAGTAACAATTTCCATTACTGTCAAAGGTTTTTCGGAACTTTTGATATATATATTGTATGAGTTTACATTAGCTGGAGTGCTGTTTGGCTTTTGTTTTGCTTTCTGAAAACAATCAGAAGAAATTTTCAAATAACGTTTTCTCCGTTTGATAATATCAAAAAAGGCATCCACTAGATAAAATCTAGAACTAATAGATGAAACTGATTTCTCAAACCTGATGAAAATTGTTTCATTCGTGAAATGAAATTGCTTTGTTGTTATGATTTGGCTTTTTTATTCAAAAGCTTATTTATTCGACCATTTTTTCTTGCAAAAACATCTAATACGTGGCTCTAGGCCCTCTCGATCTCAAAATTAAATGGAAGAGAAATAGGATTATTTCCCAGATCACAAAATTAGAGACAATCTTCTAGTGTTAATAAGATGTCTACAATATCATTCAAAATATTTGTTTGCTGTTGTGGTTAGTGAAGAAAATTCCTTTTCACATCAACCATTGCTTGGGGGTTTTTTGTGGAAACTTTTGCTTCTTCGTAGGAAGATGTTATATATATCAACTACTGCCTTAAGTAAGATTGAGGCCCTTTTTTGAGAACCAGGCTTGATTATGACAAACAGGCAGTCAGAAAAGAACATAAAAATGAGAGCAAAACAATCAAATTCATTTTGTAAACATTTGTTCATTTCCAAAAGTTCTGTTTACCACAAAACACTTGCTTTACAGCCATTTTACATTTGGAATATGTAAAAACAAGGGGGAGCTAGCCCTCAAAATAAAGTTGCTAAATAAACACTTGTCAGATAAAAAGTAGTTTTGTGAGCAGGCCTGTTGCTAGATATTGTGCCCCAGGGGGAGGGGTGCTCATGTACTATTTGCCAACCAAGTGAGTGCACCACCCTTCATTTGCATACAAGTCTGAAAATCTCCCAACAAAGCTTCCTCACATGGCAAAAACACCTTGTTGTTGCAACAGCAAAAACTCCTTGTTTTAGCAACAGCAAAAACTCATTGTTTTTGCAAATAGAAAAACTCCTTGCTTTTGTAACAGATATTTTTTGTTCAAGGGGAGTGTCACACCACCCAAGCCTCACTGTAGCAATGACCCTATTAGTGTGTATTGAAAGATGGTGAAAGGATTAATGGAATGAAATTCAATAATTTAACAATGCCAGTTTAAGCAAACCCAGATGTGTAGGGAAAGCAACAAATTGCTTAGCAACTGATCATGAAAAATATACTGTAGGTACAACTTAGCCCTTCAAAACCACCTGTCTCATTCTAAACTTTCAGGGATAAACAGTGAATGAGAAATTCATTAAAATAGAATTATTTTGACTTTAACCCACCATGGGTTATCCCCTTAGAATCGTCTCTAAAAATTCAAAAGTATCAAGTGAACACCAATGATATTCTACAACATTTTTCAACATGTACTTAGTATTCATATCCCACATTTCTTAACTATGTTTTGCTCCCAATGTAGTTTATATTACAGCTTGATTGTAATAAACTAAACATTAGTTCAACATTTAAAAATTACCACCTCATTAGTTTAAACCCTGAGGCAATATTTAAAAACAGCTTAAGGCAAGATTTTTATTTTCACATATCTCAATTTATGTTTTCTATTATCAGCAATTCTATGCTAAAGCATAACTATCAGGATTAGACCAAATTAAAATGTTTCACACTATTTAGTCTTCACACTACAATAAAAAATATACACATCCGAATGGCACTATTGTGCCCATGATAGACCACACATAGACCCATCACTCCATACTCTCTGGTAGTTCTTGTCCTTCTACAAATAATGTATGAATAATTCCCTCTCTTCTTTTGCCAGAGCTTACTGCCTTTATATAGCATGCATGGCCTCTGATACTGAAGTGTGTTTCTGTTCCTTCATCTGCAAACTCACCCTGAAAACAAACAGCAAGTAAAATAAGGGACTTCTAAGTCTTTCCTTATTGGTCCAGAAATGTTTGAACCCCAATTTGCAACATAAAAAATAAGGTGTTTAAATAAATGATTTGCTTTGGTAAAAATGGTAAGAATCCATTCCTAACTGAGTGCTAAGTTGTAGCAGTTAGCAAAGAAGGAGAACAGGCCTTTTCTAGTTCATCGTATAACTTTACCCCTTACTGTACACTGTGAAGAAGCACAATATCATAAAAAATTACTGTTTTATCAGGCCGCCTTTCCCTAGCACTGGGCAGCCATTGAGCAAGCAATGATCTAAGGGATCCTAAGTGGTAGCAGTTATTCTTGGCGTTTAACCTTTTTGTTAATGTTATTGGCATCTTATCTTGTTTATCTGTTTCCATAGTAATTGTTATCTTTTCTGAATCAGACTGTTTAAAAAGAAAAAGTGAAAAGATGCAAGTATTTTCTAAAAGTGGCATTTTTCAATGTTTTGACCTTTTCAGTCACACCTTTCTCAGCCCACTACTGGTGAGCGGTGCCTGGGCTTTCCTCTTCCAAAAATTTAATCTCAGTTTCTTTCATAATGTGAGAATTTCAGAAGTTGAAAAACCTGATGACCCAGTAACAAAAGAGAAAAATTCATCTTTTCTCGGGACCAAAAAGCAAAACATTGGACATTATCAAATTCTCATATCAGGAAAAGGCAACTTGCTCACAGCTGTTTCTAGCACTTCACCATTCACCCAAACATCCATTGTGTCTTTCTCTAGAAAAATTACAAAAGTTAAAATGAAAAGCTGTTGATAAAAAATATATATATAAATATGACCTTGTGTTCTAGACACATACAAAATTCCAACAAAAAGGTCAAACTCAATTGCAAAAGAAACTTTGATCTGGAAACTTGAACCCTCAAGCCTCAGAAGACTCAAATATTGCACAGATTTCTACCTTTCAAATACTACACAAAATTATTATACCTTTCAATACTGGATGGTAAAACAACCTTTTGTTTTTAATCAGTGTTACACTTTATCATTCATGCTGCCCAATAGATTATAGATTGTTGCTGCTTACTCTGAAGATGTCAAAGTTTAAAACAAGTTATTTTTAAAACAAGTTACTGATAATTACTTATATCTATTCAACCCTTGTTACACCATGCAGAAGATTGATGTAAAATATTCTTCAAAATTATGTGAACACAAAGTTTATCATGAACAAACTTAGGCCAACCCCCTCTACTACCTTCTAATTTAAAACAAAGGTAGCAGCTTAAATTCTATCGTTACCAAGATGTAATGACAATTTAACTCACCACTGTATTTGCTATCACTTTGAAGATAAAATGTAAGGATACCTACTTTAAGTTCAAATATCTCTACAATTTATTTTTATAATGATATTTTTAATACTTTATAAATACCATTTTAAAAATTGAAATGCTTTAAGGAAAAGCTTGGATGTTCAGAACTTTCATTAAAAAGTTAGGGTTTTGGTATGATACAAAATACAAAGCAAAAATTATCTGCATAATTTTTATCTGTACATAGGCATGGAAAGTGTTTTCCAGGTGAGTTTGCTTTGAGGTTGAGGAACTATGGATGGTGAAATTATTTTCCAGAGAGAGATAATGTGATTCAGCAAGCTCTTAGGAAATTGAGGACACAACTCGTTTTCCTGCTTGTTAAGTTTTGGATATACCATACATTTTTTGAGGTTTTATGGAGCATATTGAAAAGCTTAATTTTGTTCTAATTTTAGCCAATATAATATGAGCTTTAGGCACAATGTTGTGATAATCTCACATCAAAAATCGGTTTTAAATTACACTGTAAGATTCTGAATCGATTTTAAACTACTGTAAGTAGGTATCTTGTGGGCCTACACTATAAAATCATGGCTTATTTCGAACTAAAAAATCTTTAGGGGCTGAAAACATCCTTACCCAGAACTATGCGCGTTTCTACACCATCTAGTATCAGAGTCCAAACCCTTGCAGTTCTTTTACGATCCTCGACGAATTTCTTAAGAGGCTTGTTATCAACAAACATGGTATATTCATAAGCAAATCCACTGACTGCTTCTATCGATACATAAGCATTGGTCTTGCCAATTTTAAAATGTTCTTTTCCTACCAATTTAAACATCCAGTTTCGTCTCAAAACTTCCCTATCATCCACTGTTATTACTCTTTTGCCAGTCGTTGTTCCATGCTCAAACTTGATCGTGTGGATTCCATCAGATAAACTAACTTCCCAAACACCAACTAGGTCAGCCATTTCAATTTCCAAAGATGCTTAAAACGCTATTTTGGCGATGGACAATAAACAATAGACGGCCTTTCGGAACGCAGCCGTTTAAACCGTCCACAAAACTTTAAATAATTGTTATTTATATGCATGCAGTGTTTACGACACTTCGTTGCTTTACCTCGAGTTACAAGCACTTTCTCTGTGCAGAGCACTAACGTGTATCGGGGGTTGTTCCTGTTGCTGAAATAATTTATCATGTGCAAAGGGGGGCGCACTCTCAAATCTTATTGTTTCCAGGATTCAAACAAAAACAAGAAAGACAACGACAACCTCTTTGCCTGTTGCTAGGTGACAATCGCAGACGACAACAGAATTAAAATACAATGTAAACAAAACGTATCTTGATATTGATCAAAGAGACTTCAACTCAGTGAGGTGCATCGCTTCAAATTGAACTTCGTTAAATGGTTTTGGTGGGCGTGGCACTCCATAGCCCCCATAAGAATAGTCGAAGTTCTGGGTAAATCGATAATTTTAAATAATCTATTATTGATTCAACTTTAAAGGTTTGGCGGTACAAAATTTGAAAATGGTATCAAAAAGAGCAAACATTTTACAACATACTAAGAAGCTTTTTCGTCTGGCACCCCTCAGAGTATAAAACTTCAGAATAAGAGTCCGGGGGAGTGTCAGGTCATGCGAAAAAAGCTTCTATGTAAAATGTTGGCTTTTTTCAACTATTTTTTCAATTCCGATAAATGAGTCAAAAGCAAGGCTTTATTCGCCTGCCACAAATCCTCGACTTAACCCCAACCTCTGTATAAGCTGCCATCAAACAAGCTCCAATTCAAAAATATACTTTTGCAAACATGCCCCCCTCCTAGAATAAACCCCTCCATAGCTGTATAGGCCCTTGAGCTTTCACGCTTTCACTTGAAAGAATAAAATACTCAAAGCGGCAGGAACGTACTCAAACTTAGGAACAACTTCAAAAAATTGTGAAATCATAGTCTGTAAGCAGTTTGGATATTAAAAATCATAGACTTAGCGGGCAAAAGACTATATTTTGCAAAATCTATGACAAAAATTCTTTAAAAAGGTAAAATGAATTTGATCAGAAAAATTATGATAATTTTTCAAAACCAAGATTATATTTTGACTTGAGCAAGAAACTTTTGAAGCAGAGTTATAAAGATATTCTTCAATCGATTTCAAAATTTATTCAGGGTCGCATTCACATCTGTTGGGGCCCTGGGCCCAAAGTTGATTAGGGCCTCTTAAAAAATACAAAAAATTGTGTCCCGTGCATAGTATCTGGCTAAACATAATAAAAACCAACTAGGTTAATATTTACTGAATAGTTTGATAGATAAAAACTATATGACACGAATAAACTTGCATCCATTTTGCATTTCAGTACATTCCAAATAAAACTACCCTCGCCCCTTGGTTCATGCCGCTAATGTCTTTCGTTTTTACTTCACTGCTGAAAACTTTTCGATGAGTTTATTGGAGTTAAAACTCCCAGGACATCAAAATCTGTTGCCATTTAACATAAGTCAACAAAGCGCTACTGTGACATTGTGGACCTCAGTTCACTCTTTTTCTTTACCCTTTTCAGCATGGTGAAATATTTTGCATTGGAGGAACCTCTGTATGGCAAATTGAGCAAAAAACTAAGTGCAGTCATTGCATTGGAAAGCTCCAGCCATGGCCAGCAAAAACAAAATACGAGGCCCCCTGCGAGCGGAGCGAGCTGAATATTCTTGTGACCACGCCCTTTATTCCATTCTTAATTCTTATTCCATGGGTAAATATGTCACTGTGTTCAGGTTGGTCAAAGAAAGATTGGTAATTTTTAACATCATGGACAAAATTGTTAGTCATTTTTGAGGTTCACTGCACCTGCCAGGGAGGGAAGACAGCTGTTATTAAACATATCTTCGTCGATGCATTGAAATTTCAACTGACAAGTACTAAAGAAAATAATCTGTTACTGACAAAATAATGGACCTGCTCTTTTTAAAGAATTGATGAGACCAATCCTTTTTGTCTCTTGATATTTTTGTGCAGGTGTTGTGTGATTGTCTTCAGGGGCGGACTGGCCGGGCGGGCTACCGGGCTACAGGGCCCAAAATTATTACAATTTTTTCTTATTTTTGCTATTAAATGAAAACATATATTGTTTGGTAGGGGCCCTCTTCTGTGGATAGAGAATAAATATAAAGATCACTTTGCGGTATTCAAGTACTGCGGTATTCAAGTACTGAAAAAGCATTTTCCAAAATTTGGGGCCCCATGTAAGCAAGGAGAATCCTGGGCCCAGGGCTCACTGTCTCTAATGCAATAATACGTTATTTAACTGGAAGTTCCAAAATCTGATAAATTTTCTCTTCGGGCCCTCAGTTTAAATGTTTCAATTTAATGATAGGTTAAGGTGGTAAGGACATGACAATTTTTGTGGCTCAATTTCTAGAAAGGTACATTATTTTAATGCTAACCAAATAGATTTGAGAGTATAGATCAAAACAGCAGAAAGGCTCAACCCCTTCAGCTCCGAAATTTTTTTGCTGCAGTACATCCATATTTGCTCCAGTATAAAACATGAATGATTTGCCAAAGATCTTAGGTATAAAACATCGGTGCTTACGCCAAATTTTGGTGTGTTTCGTCGGCAAAATTTCATCATAATTCCATTGGCGTGGTCTAACTGTGCAAGTTTATATTCGAAAACATGCTGACGTGGCAAAAATCATGCGAGATTTGCCCTGACAGACTTTGCAAAATAACAGGCCCATAGACACTGAGGGCAGGGGGGCAATGCCCCATCTCAATAATTTGCAAAAATTGTGTTTAAAGATCTTATAAGCGCAGCTTGATCTGACAGTATTTCGTAAGGCAGGTATAGAACTATATTTCTTTCCGTGCCCCCCAATCCAGTTTAGCAGTCTACGGGCCGGCATAAAAATGAATACGTTTTGAATGTCTCCCATTGTTAACTAAACAAGAAAAAGAAACGAGATACAGCTGGGAGATTTAGATGCATTACAAGCTTTATGCTCATAGAAATGTAGACATGATTTGACATCTAAACATAGAAAGGAAGACTCGTTACTCTTGAAAGTCTCTTACTGAGAACATTTATTTACTGTCTTCAATAGACAAGACAGGATTTTTTCTAATTGCATTTCAAATTATGTGTGTCCGAAATGCAGGTTTTGTCGCTTGAAAATAAGATCTTGGCTTAACTAGTAGGGGATGGGGAATTATTGTAAATGAAAGCTTGTATGTGTTGCCTAGGATCGTCCTTTCGTCAAACTTGATGTGGCAAATATTCTAGATGCATTTTCTGGCCATCTCTGTAATGTCATATTTCGAAAATTTTTCTTGAATCCGGCCAGAAATTCTAACCATGGTGGTGGCCTTTATTTATGCCCTAAAAAATCTAAACATTTCATCCCTTCCCTAATTCAGTAACGTTTCGCCTGCCCTGCCTGTGCTACTGATGTTACCATCTTGGTTGCTGCGCAAACAATCAATAACCTGGCTGCTCAACCATTGATCGAAAAGACATCAATTCCTATTTTGCTTTGACTAAAAAATTACATATCAAGATTTTCTTGAATAACGTAGATATTTCTTGAATAACTTCGATATTTCATTAAGTTCTACCCTGGGTGCCAGAGCCTCAGTGATCGAAAAAGGTGACCCCTCCAAATGCCATTCGCCGTTTTTTACCACTGAAGCCCCACTTTAAAAGTCCTTTAGCTAGAAAACAATAATTCCCTCCCCCCGAAATGTCATGATTTTCTCTCATCTCTTATTCTACGTCAGAATTAAATTTCCAGTGAAAATGATGCTGACCTGGACTAAGGATTGTAGATCCCCTTGGTAAAACTTTTACGCCTACGCCTACATCCCTGGTGGCTACTAATTTGAATTAATAGCAATATTCCAATAGCGTTTTAAGCAAGTATAAAAAAGTGATGCAACAAACAACTTTGGGGATACCCTTGAACTTATTTTTGATTTTCGGGGCCCTTTCTTGACGAATTGGCCCGGGCCCTAAATTTGGAGCCAGTCCACCCCTGATTGTCTTCGGTATTTTATCAAAAGAATCGGAATTGTTTTATCGGGATAATGACATAAACATACACTCGACTTGGTAAGACCACCTTTTTTATGATCACGAGCCTCAAAATTGGTTGAAAATTAGAAAAAATTAAGAACAAACTGAGTTAATGTAAAGCGTATTGCGCTATGCATAATAATTATAATGACATATGCAATCTTAAGCCCTGGTCAAACGATCCAACATTTCGCCCAACATGGTATTGGGTGAAATGTTGGATCGTTTGACCACCTTGTTGGGTCACCCAACATCGTAAATTTTCGATGTTCGACGAAATTTGACTGAAGTCAAAAATGTTGGCTGCCGACGTCCAACAATTCTTTTGTTTTGAAGTGTTAAGTGAAATGTTGGATCGTTTGACCACCTCAGCCAACATTGTTGGCTCTGCGCAAGCGTAGTCGGTAAAAGACTCTCGCTTCGACTCTCGCTTCGACTCTCGCAACGATTCTCGCTTCGACTCTAGAATTTGTTTACAATTGATAAGATTGATACCATTAATAGCTATGGTGGCTATTGCCTTTCGTTTTCTCGGATCGGAATCTCGGATCGGCATCGTTATGTGCGGCCATCATCGGGAGTGTCTGGTCTGGTGTGCCTACTGTTGTTAAGCAACATCAATGTTACCTATTACCCACTCCCTTTTCGATCTGCGCGAGAAAATGTTGGGCGAAATGTTGGGCGAAATATTGGATCGTTTGACCAGGGCTTTAACAATCAAAATCTTAAAATAAAAGCTTTTAATTTTTCTCTAATTTACAATCTCGCTTACGATAAAAAATGTTTTCTCAACTTGGATTCAAAAATCACAATCGATTTCAGGGAACGTGTTGCTTTTCTAAATGTTTCTTAGATACAACGATATGTCTTTCATAAAGGTATAATGTTGTTCTGCAGTAAAATGTGGTTTTCCTGTCTAAATTTCTTTAAACACAACTAACTTCAGAAACATTTAAAAAAAGCTCAAAGTTCTGGAAAAGTTAAATACAGCCAGCCTGCGCCTCAGTGCTCTGGCTCTTAGATAAAAATGACGTTCCTTCTTTACATTCTTGTACCTTCATGAGGTAACAGAAATCAGACCTCTTCAGAAGGTTGTAGCTTGATTGAATCACATTAAATCAATCACCTCATGACTGCATAATAAAAACCCACAGCAATGAGAGAAGAGAAAAGCTGATATATGGTGAAAGGGAGGCGGAGGGGGGAGGGTGCTTGGCTAAATTTTCGGTAGGGTTCTGCCACACATTCAAAGAGGTAACGTCGGCCAGACTGAATTTTACGGAAACGATACCCTTGGCTATTAGTACAATTAGTACAAATTGGATACCCTTGGCACAGTCTAATTTTGAAAAATGATTCATTTTGATAGATTCATTTTCAAGCCATTCGAATGAGCAGATGTCACGAAATTGTTGGTTTGAACTCGGAATGTCAAAGATCAATTTTTATCGTTTACTAGTGGACTATCAACTAAAATGGATTGTACGGAATAAACTTCTTCCCTAGACCAGTAATCTCAAATATGATACCCTTGACATAGACCTTGGACTGACCAGAATAATAAAAAAAATACTCTTGACTTCCAAAAGTTGCAAAAAAACTAAAAGTCCGAATAAGTATACACTAGCTCACGGCACAGTCGAAGGCGAGGGACAAATCACTCCAAGAGAATCCCGTACTCTTTTTGTGAAAATTCTTTTGTTTTATCTAAAAAGCCCCAGAAATCCTTTTGTTTTAGGGAAAATCTCGTACGCTATTTGCAAGAGTGAATTGCCCCTCGGTCGAAGAAACATACTGATTCAACTCACGGCCTTGTTTTAGAAATTTGTGCAGCCGTGATAATTGTGTGGTAGTTTAGTTCAGATGGTTCAGATTAGGGTTTACCACCCTTCTTTTCGTTCGGACACAATTTTTCGCTTGTTCTGAAGAGGTAATGATGAGGCAAAGTCAACTGGGAAACAACATAGATTTCAAAGATAAAATTCAGGAAGAAAGCAGAACGGCGACGAGAATCCAATGTGAGAATTTTTCAAAATAAATTAAATAAAACGAATACTAATATTTCGCCCCGGCATACAGGGCTTCATAGATCTCAAAGACTTATGACTTATTAGTCAAAGGAAAATTACCGTGCACACGTGTAAGCAAAGCTGCAACAAGTGTGAGCAAACGGTCCTCAATTTGAAGAGATACTGTTGAAGCATCTCAATTTTTCTTCATTTCAAGAACGGTTTGAAGATCCGTGGCGCAGACTTTTTAGCCAGGATCAAAAGGGTCAATGCTTAATGAAAAATGTAGGAAATTGTGAGCACTCTTTCCTTCTATCTATCTCTCTCTTTCTCTCACTCTTTGTATATAGTTGTTGTTGTTGTTGCGACTGCACTTTTGATTAGAAGAACTATCTTGATTACGAATTCGAAAGGCACGACGTGAACTATATCTCTCAAAGAACTCTCAAAGACGTGAACTAGATGGATGCGAACGCTATTCAAGACGAAAGAAGATCGATAGAACGATTCACATAAAGAACAATATTTAGAGAAAGTACTAATTTAAGATTTATTGGACCGAAGTGACTTCGTTAAAATTCTTACGTTATTTCTTCTCTCTGGACGTTAATTCTTCTCTCTTGTTGATAACTTACGTTTGTTTATGTCGTTATATTCGCTGATGTTAATACTTATCGTACCTTTAAATTCGAATTAGAAATTATACTGTCATCTTATTGACTTTGATATAGAATTTGATCTTCAAGATGAATGAACCTATAAGGTAATTCTAACCTGCCAAGTAAATAGATTTTAACTATTTACCTCTATGTAGTGATTCCTGGCAGGTAGATTCTATAAAAATATCCAACATGACGCTGTTAATACTAGACCGGGCTTGCTCCAATCCGCTTTAATGGATCAGCCCGTCTGTATTCAAACCTTATCAAACGTTTACCGTACATTATAAACCTGCTTTGCAATAGAGCTCTCCTATAAGGGTAGGGCTGACCCGTTAAGATGTTAAGTCAGCTAGCCTTACCCATGTCTTGATTCTATGTGTCCTTGGTTCTCAAACCATATTTTTGAGAAAAAATTCACCGTGTTGCGAACAGGACCCACAAGTGTCTGTTTTGTAAATTTCTGGTACCATTTTCAAATTTCATTGCTTTAACAGAGGTTCAAAACTAACAGAAAACTTAGCAAGTTTTCTGAAGGACAAGTTATCAGGCTACATTCATTTTTACAACAACCAATAATTTGAATTTCTGGCTGGCTGTTATCAATTTTTTTCGAAAATTTGAGACTGTATTGTTTCTTAATTTGTTATTCATTTGCGATAAAAGTGAGTGAGGCATCCTTTATTTGCCAACAACTTTGAAGATTCACAGAAATAGCACCCCTAGATGACAAGAAATTCTTCGTTTTTGGAATGAAACTTTTCAGGGGGATTTTACATTATTGCTCAAAATTACATTTACAGTAACTCGGCCTCAGCTTGTGCTTAATTTGTTCTTAATGAGGCACTAATTCTTATGAAATTACTCTGCGCCTGCAGCTGGCTTCCTTGTGCGACACTGCAGGCATGTTCTTTTTTAGATTACTAAACGTCAAGGGGATGATTCACCGTAACGTTTGAAAATCTGTCTCGATGGAAAATCTATCTCTTGCCTCTTGCTCCCCCGCCCGTCTGGCTTGATTGCAAAGTTGAATGACTATGTTTCCAATGGGATTTTAAAAACCTTTGCTGCTTTGTTCACTTTAATAAAGAAAGTGCATGTGTGAGCTTTGCAACAATTTACAGATAAATAAAAGGAGATGCTCCTCGGGGACTTAGCTGTGTCGCAGTTACACTAGATTCACTACAACCTTTAAAGATGAATTTAGATACTGAAAACTTACCTAAAACGATTCTTGTTAGATGACTGTCTATATGCGTGACCCAACATTTCGTTACAGCTCTCCAGTTGGCAACGAATCTCTCAAATGGCTGGCCAGCGAGCGTTAAAGTAAACTCGTAGCCCAAACGGCCGTGTGGCTTGACTGTTAAACATGCTTTGATTTTATTAATGTAAAAAACGTCTTCTTCTATGAACTTAAAAATACTGTTTCTGATAATGATGTTGTCCAAATACACGATCCGTCGTTCTGATAGTGGCTCGTATTCGAATCTGACGACATGGACTGCATCAGTGTACGGAATAGTCCAGATCTTGGCTACATCCACCATTTCGGTTTTCTTCACGTTTTCCTTCTAGCTACAACGCAGTTTCATCAGGAATTCTTAATTGTCGCTGCAACTTATCAGCTAGAAACAATTTTGTCAGCTTGAGGTGGATTATTCACAGATAGCAAACGAGTACATAATACGACCTGTAATATTTATCGAGTTCCTTTATTCCCAAGGCTTTGCTGGTGTTGCGTAAGTATTATAATGGCAGCATTCAGGTGCATTGATAGGCTTTTTGTACAGCAGTTCTCCTCTTTGTTTTCACAAAGCAATCGCATCAATTTCTGGATGAATCCTGGGGATTTTTTCAAATTACCTGCTTCGAGGGCGGAAATTTATGTGTTCGTTCCTAGACCTGGCAACAAACGCATGAAAGATAAAGCGTAATAATCAGTCTCTCTGTTATTGCCTTTATCTATGCTGATCTAGGTTCAGTTAAGAATTTACATTTAAACCACAGTACAGTGGCGCTAAGCTCCCGGATTATAAAAAAATTGCCAAGTCAGCATTTAAAAACAAAGCAATATGTAACAAAGCATTAAGTAAGAATTGTCCATAAACCAAATGTTTGAATATCAGCTTTTGACGTTATATTTCAGAAAGAACTGGAGGACATGGAACATTGTCTTGGATGGCCCAACAACAAACTCGGTGAAAATAGCAATATTTGTTGTTACTGGGCACGTGTATATAATTCAGAATATTGAAAACCAACAGAGCTTCAGACAAATGCTAGTGTGTCTCCCCAACAAGTATTTGAATAGGTTTGATCTCGATAAGATGATTTTGATATGTTATGGAATGGTTACCAATTAGAAACATATTAACTTCCTAAGCAATATAAAACATCTTATCAATAACAGTGAAAAGTTATCTTGCATTAAAAATTTTTAACATACGGAAAAGTAGTTTGCGGACATAACAAATGAAGCAATATTGGTTGACTTACAAAAAAAGAAACATATAAAAAGTTACGAATTTCTGAAGAACCACCTAAAAATACATGGTATCTAGAAAGTAGCAGTATCTACATGTTTTGAATACAATAGAATACCAGAATGACTTGGTATTAGGAAATGTCATTTTGGGTATATAAGAAAATTTACTACTAACAAAAGGGTCTGTTGCATATGATCGGAAAATTGACCTCCTCTGTTGAACAATAGGCGTGATCGGGTGGGTTTTTTCCATTTGGTAAATGCGAATAGTATGGTGATTTTTGAAATATCGCAATTAATATGCAGGTCAAATCAAATCTAAAAATGGAAACTGCATTGGTAAGAATTTTCAAAGTCTACCGCGACTCTTACGTTGGTTTGGATTTAGAACAATGATTCCAAAGCAAACAATGGCCAAACCCCACGTGATGTGTGATCTGACCTTCCACAAAAGGGAATCAAATTCCCCTCCTACAGAATGACCAGGATGACAAAAGGAAATAAAACACAGCATTATAGACATTTCCAGAAATAGTAAGAAGAGATCGACATATCAAAACATTATATTCAATTCACAATACCATGACTAATTTATAGCTAAACTGACAATAAGCATGTCACTTCATGATTTACTCTTTATGCTGACTCGTGTCAAATGCCTTTGATTTAGGACTATCACTATAAACATCAAGTGTACTTTTGCCCTCTTCTTTTATCTCTCGCTTTTCCTCATCTTCCTTAAGGCACCCAGCAGGTGCCTGCGAATAACTTCCTGCTTCTAGATTCTGTGATTCTTTACTAGTCTCACCCTTTGTCTTCGAGTCTCCAGTAACGAGCAAATCGCTTGGCAGGTTTTCTTTTTTTGGGAGTTTTGCGTCCTTACCAGAAACTCCAGTTTCAAAATCCTCGTCTCTCCCCCTCCCGTCCTTGCTCTCTGCGGTACCATTGTTTTTCTCCTGCTCTCCCTTCAAAACTTTATCCGAAATCGCACTCGAATCTTTACTTCCTGACTTTTCGAGACCATCCTTCGTTCCTTCATTGATGTCAACCTCCATAGGAGTTTCTTTATCGTTTTTATTCATTGTTTGCAAGTCGCGTCGGTCATTAGAGAAGCCACAAACAGTTCCTTCACCATTTTCATTGAAAGAGTTATCCTCCAGTCCAGTATTTTTGTTATCAGTTTCAGCTTTTCTACCTTCACTCTCACCTGGGCATTCCACATTATCTTTAGACGCCTCTTCGTCTTTTTCTTCTTCGTTCTCTTCACTGTTTTCACTAGTTGGAAAAGGCGATTTTCATCAACACTCTAAAGTATTTTCGAAAGCCAATACTTAGTAAAGCCTTTTTTGTTACATTGAATAATATATATTAAAAATTTTCAGACTTTGCAAGGTTTGAAAGTAGATAAATAGCGAGTAAGACCTTACTCGAGCTCCGAAATACGTAGAAATATAAATTTTCAGCGCATAGTGACGAATAGGAGTAACCACGCAATAACCACCTGGTTACGTAAATTCAAGAATGTAAATACTGAGATTCCTAGCTTGGAATAAATTGAGAATTTATCTACATTTTTTACTCTTTCCTTTTCGTAATATTTACAACAACTATAGCCTAAAGCTATGAATTTTTATTAAAGTTTATTTATTATTGTTTCATTACATTATTATTTCAACTGCAATTCCTTTACACGATAACATGGCAAAGTCGTTTAAATATCTTTGCATAGCCTGGATTGTAGGCGCTTTCCTCAGCCGAAGCTATGTAACTCAAATGTTTTATTGCCGATTTGAAACAACCAAAGCTTAAAACGTACTCTGAAAAAAGAACAACTTACAGCTTCATTCAGATGAAAACCACTTTAAATTTTTACATTTTATAGCCACTAAACTTGCACAACAACCGCATAACTCATTCGTTAGTCAAGCTGGCGTACTTCATAACTATTTACCTTCGATTGGGACATGGGTTGATGATATTGGTCAATGATTCTGAAGAAAACCGAGGAAGAATGTCTGCATGGAGGTTGCAAGTCGTGCTTCTGAACGTCTGAGGCACTGGCACTGCGCAGGCTGAGCTTGAGGCAGCTGTTTCAAATGTACATTTTTTGTATAATCGTTGATCTGGATCAAAACATATATCTGTTCCAAGTTAAATCGAGATCAAAACATTTCTTGTATAATTGTTGATATGAAAATTTGGCGATAGAATAATGCGAGGATTCATTGTAAAGATAATGTAAATAATTTTAAACTAGAAGGAAAAGCGGCGCAAAATGATAGTCTGTTGACGAGTCAGGGTTCCTTAGCATTGAATTCAATTATATCCTTGCATTAAAATTTTATGGGGCAATATAATTTGGAAGTGGCTTTGGGATTACTAATGGAGTTTGCATTTTTGGTTTTTATGAGCAAAGAGAAGGTGCATTAATTTTTTAATGTAAATTCCTAAATTAGTGTAATATTCTGAGGGAGAGGGAGTTCACACACCACTGAACTGTAGCTTGCTTACTCGTGAACTGATTAAATTACAATAGGGACTAATAACAGCGTGACAATACAAAATACAAAAGGTCAACTCTAAATATGGTACACACAAATACTACACACACAAATACACACAAATGCAATTTATTAGCCATCATTTTCGAATCTTATAGAGGTGAATTTGCGACCAATTTTGAGAATTTAGCAGAAATAAAAGACTAGCTAGATAGCTAGAGAGAATTAGCTCTTGAGCTTTGGACAGTCTTTTCTGCTCTGGTGACGACAAAGCAGAGAAAGAATTCTCGGGGTTGGGTTTCAGCTAGACTTTCCCTAAGTCTATTTTTTAATCTGTAGGACATTCGTACTACTGCTAGGATTGTCTCCTCCGCAGTTTAAATATGCCCGCGCAGTAGTGCTAATGCCTTACGGATTTAACAAAATAGAGACTTTGGAAAAGTCTAGGTTGCAGCAAAAGACGAAATCGACTTTACTCAGAGGACGGAAATATATCGGAAAACATCCCATTAACCTATGTTCCAATGATATTGCTATCCAAAAAAACTAAATATTCTTTTTCATGAAAGCATTACATCGAATACACGATATTTCATTGACAAGATATGAAGTTTTAATAATTAATCTTTGAAGAGCCGAATTACAACATCACCTAGGTGCTTTTGGCTGAAAATTTGTAGTGTGAAACTTGGGCGAGGATTTTTAATACGTAGGTAGGCAAACGACACATTGCTATGACAAAAATTAGCACAGCTACCTTTTGAATTAAGCATATAGCAAAGCTTTGAAACACAAACATCTAGTGACGTGCTGGTCACCTGATAAAACATCAGAAAAGCTCTTCCAAGAGGGATTTGTTTTGCATAAATTGAAAAAAGCTGATTCACAAGCAACATTGGCTGACCTGGACATGAAGGTTTCAACTGGGAATTCGAAAACGCAACAAGCGAATTCATCACTTGGCATAAATTCTAGGGACATCTGCTTGGAAGTTTCTAGAGGATGTCAACTAAAACCCAACAAATAAATAATTAATATGAAATTGAATTTGAAGAGGATACGTTGTAAGCAAAACTTTGAAAATGGAAGAATCTTATGTTGACATCTTTCTGAATTAGCCATATGGTGACAGCGGTTTTGTGGTATTATTTTCGAACCAGGTGTTGCACGAGATCGTTTTTCTTTAGCTTGTCTTTCAAGCAACAGTTCTGTGCCATTTGTATGTTGATACAACCGCAGGGCTCTTTCCTCTGACAGAGACAGTTTTTCTTCACTTGGGTTATCTTCACGAGAAAGAAATGAAAAATGTATGTTCCTTTTCCTTATCCTTAGGTCAAGGAGGGTAGGGTTTTTTTTCCATTTACAAACAACAACAAGAATATAATATAAAATAAAAGCCATTGCTTTCGCGCTAGTGAAAGTCAGGTAGCTGTTACAGCTACATACACAGAAAGCATGTTCTCTTTACCTAGCCCACATCAGCAAAGGATTAATCAATTATTTATCTTTAAAACTCCAGCAGAAAACAATTGTTCAAAGTCATTGCTTGCAGGCCCTCGAGTACTTTTTATATTGTTTGCTTTGCCGATACACAGCTTTCACCTGGCAGAAAATATATTTTGATATCTTGTTACTTAACTCTGGTAAAAATCGAACAAATAGAACGCCTTATCTACAAAGAAAGATGTGAAAGCAAACAGAACACAATACAACTTCCTAGGGCCTTATCACAGTCCCTATTTCCTATATTAACACCGAATACATCAAGCACTATTCATCTCTCTTTTTATCGCCAGCCGATTGGGTCTTAGTGAATAACAGTATTCTATGAATTCAATAATACATAAGGAGCTTTATCATTCGCAATAAAAGAAGCAAGCTATTATAGAAACCTAAATGTAAAATTGGAGAAATATGGCTGAGAACTAGAATACCCTTCTATATCAATGATTGTCTCCTTGCAAGTGAAACAAATAAATTCTTAATTCAAAATATCGAAATGATACTAAGATACATGCTACTTGGAATGTGGTAGGGAGTTTGTCTGAAAACGTTTGTTTAGAGGTAGAATCGTTACTTTGTTATATGGGCTGCTACCAAATGCAGAATGGAGAAAAAAGGCACACATGCCTATAAAATGCTGCTGATTGGCATACATTGTGGGTTCATACCTTCACTGTTGCTTGGATCGGCTTGGTATGATGATGCAGCCATTCGCATTAAATAGCGTCGCCGCCTTTCTTTCAATAGAATATGCAGCCGCTTATACTGCTCCAAATACAAGCTTCGCTTACGAATCATTTTGTCTCTACACATCCGTAGAGCTTCTTCCAAAGTCCAAACACCGGCATGCCTTTGGAAAATAAAACAATCCAAAAAGAAAATTCTACATATTGACAGCATTGCTGATGAGACTTTACAACAAACTTTGAATGAAAGTTTTTTTCCTAACATATTCAGCCAGATGAACAAGCCCAAGACACTTACAGTTTATAAATGAATATAATCTAGAAATTGAACTTAATAATGCCATATCTGTGATAAGTAACCATTAAATCAGGAAACCATTAGTGCATTTCGTGCAAAAATTCATCATAGATGTACATCAATATCATAGTTTGTAGCAATCATTGTTGACGCCAAACCCAGCTCGAAAATTTCTTTAATGTGGCATAAAATGCAACCTCTTTTCACTCATGATGTTTATTATAACATATATATATATATATATATATATATGTTATAATAAACATCATGAGTGAAAAGAGGTTGCATTTTATGCCACATTAAAGAAATTTTCGAGCTGGGTTTGGCGTCAACAATGATTGCTACGAACTATGATATATATATATATAGGAACAAGACAGCAAATTGTCTAAGTAAGGCTTTGTGTTACAAAATTTCAAAATAACATGAAAAAGTGAAAATAAATGTGACTTTAATGTATTATGTGCTTCTTCAAGCCATTCCTTCAATAATTTCAGATTAAACTTAATGTACCGTAAAGGATCTTCTTCCTCACTGTCTACAGACTCTGCATCACTGTCATTCTCACCAAACCAAGCAACATCATATCGCGCTTTGCCATTATCCTCGAGTGCATAGATCCCATCTGTTTCTCGCATTTCCAGTCCTGATTTCACAAAAATGAGCAAATGGAAGCTAATATGCTGCACGATTGCACACTTGATGTAAGAACAAAGAAATCTTGAATACAAATAGGCTACCTTTATTTGCCATTTATGCATGGTTCAGTATTACGTAGTGTCACTACTGAAAGCATTTTGAATTTCAAAGAAAAAGGCTACACAAGGTATACAGAAGGCTTAAAGAACACCTGACACAACAATATAAAAGTTTATTATTTCCAATGCCATGTATATATTTGGAACAATTTAACACTTAGATTTAAACACAATTTTGACTTCTGTAAAGCAGTACAAGTTGCTAAATAGATTTTTGATTAAAATACCCATGTTTTCAATGGAAAACATAATTCAGCAAGCTCTTCTTGGTAAACAAACACTAGAATAAGTATTTCCTAAAATGTTTTATGGATATACAAGTCACTGTTGGTTCCATATTACATTGGGCTACCACAAAAAGCCTTTTGATTTTTGAGAAAAACATTGCACATAGACACAGAAGGTTCAAGATAGATCATCAAAATGTTGCAATGATGGCAGATTCCTTTTTTCAGGAGTTAAAAAAGGAGATTCTGTGAATTTGGACACAATGGCTTGTGCATTGATGACATAAATAAAAGTCCAGACTGTCAATGAGATAAAAACCAGGGGTGCTTGAGAAACTGGAATCTTAAAGAAGCTTCCTAAGCTCACAAAAGGATGTCAGTTCTTACTTAAATTTTTACAGATTATCTCATTTTGCATTGTTGAGACAAGATAAAATTGTGCATGGCATCCTTGACATGCACAAATATTTATCACCTAAAAAATATTTATCACCTGAAAGTTGATCTGTCTCTGGATCTCTGAAATTCTTTGATTCTGCACCATAATTCTGGGTGCTCACAGATGAGGAGCTCTGAGTTGCAAACCTTTTAGCTTCTGCTGTAGCTTTTTTCTGGTCCAACTTGCGCTTCAAATTTCTCCTCATTATTTCATCATGTGCCTTTTTTAACTTTGGGTCTCTTGTGTGAATTAAACAAAACCTTCAAAAGGAAAAATACATTTTGTCCTTTGTCATAAAAAAACACGAATGAGCATTTGAGGAGAGCCATAGCTCTTTCTCTCCTTCCGGTTCACCTTAAATACTTGAGCAGAGCTGCAGATTGCTCTCCAAAACTATTCAAAAAGACAATTGATCTCTTTGGATTAAAACAATTTTAGTTACTCCAATTGTGGCCTCTCTTTTCGAATAAAGGTATGTTAATAAATTGTTACTTTTCAGGATTTTGTTAGCAAATTTACAAACTTGAGAGGCAGGAAGAGATTTCTAGCTCTATTTAGTGTAATAAAAATCTTACGTCTTTTTATTCTCAGCTTTGGGTGCTGGATTTACACATCTCTCTTCTGTTGACTTTATTATAAAGCTGCATTGCTGAAATGGGCTATTTTTGTCCTCAAGAATATGCTTGTGGCAGAAGTCAAATCCTCTCAGCCTTTTCCTTTTGCATACCTTTCTTGAATACAAGCACTGAATACTAGGATCAACAGGGTTTGATTTCTTCTTTACTTCTTTGAAACCTTGGGTTTCAGGTTCATTTGTCACATCCATCTGTTAAAAAGTAAGACTTAGAATATATTAAACTGTAAGGCATCAAATATCTTTAAGAGCTGACATGATTATATGTAATTAAGCAACTGTGAAAAACAATTCTCAGCACATGTGAAAAAAATCAACACTCTAGCAACTGTGTCAAACGATTCACAGCATAGGGTCCAGGGTGGAATCCATGCAAAGCTCACGCCAGACATACGCCAATAAATAATAGAAAGACAACGAGAAGTTGTTAGTCTACGCCGGGTATCTCTGGCGTAAGCTACATGGATTCCACACTGGCATATGGTGGTAAAAACCATGAACCTAGACTTACCCTTTCCTCTATTAAATGGTGAGGTAATATTGCAGGGCTTCTAAGGCAAACTTCTCAGAAGAATATTTAATCATTCATTTCTTCTATAGTTCTCTTAATGAAGCTTATTTTCAAATTTCTTGATTTGAATTCATATCATAAACTTGCATTTTGTGATCTATTTTGATCAGACAGCTCAACAAGAAAGCATTGCATTAATGCATTAATTAATGCAACAAAAAGCTGCACCATCAATTTTCACAGTAAGTGATGCATTTCTCTAAAAACATTTTGTGGTAACATTTGCTTCATGCTGTTTATCACTTTTATTAAGAAATTTTCAAAGTTCACTCTGATGAAGCCCTGTATGCCAGGGCAAAATATAGTATTCGTTCTATTCAATTTATTTTGTAAATTTCTCTCATTGGATTCTCGTCGCCGTTTTGCTTTGTTCCTGAACTTTATCTTTGTATTTAAACTCATCGCAAGATTCACAGAATCCGGCGCATCTTGCGGTTTTTCCTTCTAACACATTATATCACTTTTATTTTTGACTTTGAAGGGCTGCAGCTTAACAAGATTTCTTTCAAGGTACATTACCTTTGTCAAATGTCCTGATAGCTCTCGATACTTTGTGTAAACGCAACTTGAAAATACTTTGTGAAGGTTGAAACTTCTAACCACTCAAGGCAAAATCTTAGGCCGAATGTCCTGCATACGAGGCAGTTGTTCGATTAGGAGGCTTGCATGAGTTAAGGGTGGCCTAAGGTCAACGTGAGGGAACATTTATGTTTCAAGTTCTCCGATCAGTGCTGTTTACAAGGTTTAGATCAAGTCATCTAGGTCTTGCAGTATTGTGCAAAAGTACAAGACTATCTCTCAGGCACAGAACTATTCAAAATTCATCATATGCAGCGCGAGAAAGAACAATGAAGCTGTTTACAGATGAAGGGAATCCCTTCACCTTAAAAGTTTTACTGGCCAGCAATGTTGCCAAGGCAGACGTAGAAATTAAAGTTGTCGACAAGAAAAGTAAGCAGTATTTGATATTATGACTTTTTTAGCATATTATAACTTGATATTATAAGTCTGGTTTACTCGTGTTAGCTATAGTAAGTATTAAAGATCTCTGCGCGAAGTAGACTAGGTTGTACCACCAGTCCAGGTCGCGTAAATCTGTACTATGCATATAATAATCCACCTGTCTGATTTCCGTTTGTTTTTAGCTTTCAAGAAGCCTGCTGCTGTCAGACAGTTTCAGGTATATAATCTGTTGCCTTGATTTATGTTACCTTTTGCTTACTGGAGATGTCTGAAATATAACAGCCCGTAAAAGTCACTCGAAAGATATGCCAAGGGAAGGCAATGTGTATGCCAAGATCAATATGCATTCATTACACTGACCAACCCTCTCCCCCCCAGCCCATATTTCTAAGGCAGTTTATTTACACATTTACATGGGATGATGTAAAGTATGCACAAACAATCACAAAATAGCTTTGTCCTGCACAATTAGGCCACTTAACAAAAGTTACAGTTTAAACACATCAAATGCCAGCAGGTGCTTACCTCACACTGCCACCACACCAAGTAATGTAACTCCACTGCCAATATCTTCGGGATTCGCTACATTGAATGAAATATAGTTAACTGGCATTTTTTATTATAGCTCACAATAGAGAATTACTCATTGGATTAGCTTTATGTTTTAAGCAAACACTTGTAAAGATAACCAATATATACTTTCATCTGCATGTCAGATTCTTTGATTAAATTAAATTTTGAGGCAGAAGTTTGATAATAGCTTTCAGTAATAAGAATCAATGACAGAATGCCTTATTATTCTTATATGATCCTAGAAAACAATCTTATATGCTTCTTATGAATTTCTATTTCAAATTCATATGTTACTGCTATGGATTATTACTCTTCCTTTACATTCATTTTAGTTGGAAGAATGACACATTTACAATGTTAACTAGAAGCTTTTATAACTCTACCTGCTGGTAAATTGATAAAGTACCATATAATTTAATGATATATAATACAACCAGTTGACAGGATATACCTCCTCCTCTTAAAGTTATTGTAATTATCAGGTCTAGTTAAATATAACCTGATTCTTTCTAGTTACCAATTCTTGAACTAAATGATGGCCAATACCTTGTTAGTCCAAATGCTATGTGCAGGTATTCTATCTCTGCTTGTTTTTTCATCTCAAATCTATATTGAAATTTCATTTGAATGCTATGATTGTGTTTTACAAGAAAATTATTACGTTGTGTTGTTCCATCCATGATGTTTAGTTCTTTTTTTAGGTAGTTTAAAGCTAGCAATATGTGCTAGGCCATTTATCAATGATGACTTTGCATCATTAAATTTACTGTTACATTTCAAATACTTATCATGTTTTTTGCCGTTCATGCGGCAAACACACTGTTATGTTAAACCATGTATAACATAACTTGGTTGCTTATACAGATTGCTGGATTTTACAGGATGTGTTTTATATGATGTTGATTCTCCAAAATGTATAATAATGAACATATTTCTTCTAGGGTAACATCTCTCATATTTTGTGTCTGTGGTAAAATTTTTGATCAAGTTTCATGAATTTGAATAACCCTGCATGTGCCTTGTCAAAAGCAGAAGTACAGGTCAAAGGGGTGGTTACCAAGTCATTTCAACTAGCTTTTTCTTTTTCACTGAATTTTTTGTACTTTGGCGGTTAATCAATGTTATGTTTCTAGCTATATCATGGGATGTTGTGTAGATGCCGAGGCTGATCAATGGATTGAATGGGATGCTGTTTCATTACAGGTATTGTATCCCTTCTTGTAGTCAGTTTGCATGAATAAGCTATTCAAAAGTATAGTCCTTGTCAGAAACATACAGCCATGTTATTTGACTGTTTAATGTTGGCTGCGTGGTATTTTTGCAAAAGTTATGGAACATGTTTTTTTTTCATTTACACATTTTATTCTCTTGTATTTTCTAATGTTTAAGGTTTAAATGTTATTGCCTGACTTTGAAAAA